ATTTTAGTGGTCTCACTTTATAAAAGAACAACAATTCTAATGAAACTAATATCCATTTCAAAAAAGAAAAAATGTGAGTATTTTTTTTAAATAACTTTTGATAGAAATTAGGTAGAGAGGTTCGGTTTTCACCGTTGAAAAGAGGAGATGGAACCGCATCGAATAGTCTATACCAAACTTTTCTCACAAATTTTCTCAGAGTCAACCATCAAGTTTGTTAAATACAAAAGATTTTTTAATGTAAAAGTTTTACGATTTCAATTGTCAGGACTGGAGTAGAATCATTAACTGAAGATCTACAAATTCAGTAAGACCTATGTTGTAAACTTTAGCCAATCATGAGTTATACACATTTGACTTCATATTGTCGGTAGATTTTTTCTAGAAAATTGACTTTTTTTCTCATTTTTTAATGAAACATCCATCTTACAAGCTTATTCAAAAGCCTAGATTTTTGAAAAAATGGGCGAAAGACTCTGAGAAAATTTGTCAGAAATGTCTGATATAGACTATTCGATGAAGTTTCATCTCCTCTTTTAAACGGTGAAAGTCGAACCTTTCTATCTAGTTTCTATCAAAAGTTATTCAAAAAATACTCACACTTTTTCTTTTTTGAAATGGATATTAGAATAAATGTTGGCCTTTCACTACTCCTCATGAAATGAGTTTAGAAAAATTTGAAAGATGAAGAACACACTTGAAAAGATTATCTTTTACTAAGTTTTTATATTGTTTGTGATATATCTCTTGACGGAAAAAAAGAAATTCATTTTCTTTGTTCGTTTTCTTTTTTACTTGAAATAACTTAAGATTTTTTTATCTTTAGAACTTGTTATCGAAAATCGACTGGCATATTTATTTTCATATTTCATATTAAACTAAATTCTGAGAATTCATTTAGTGATCATTCATTGTTATAGTTATTCATTAAAAAATCTAATCGGTATATATCAGGATTTGACTTTTTGTATTAGTTTAGTGTTATAAATTATTTTGTAACTCTTAGTTAAAATTCAAAACTGTTAACATTTGATAAATTGAACACGGTATATATTTTTATCTTTAAAAGGTCGTTTTTATTCAGTTTCTGTGATGATCAACTATTTTATTATTGAATTCTCAAAGAAATTATTCGAAAGATATTCTTATAACCAAAAAATATTCTATCAAGAAATTCAAAGAGAAAAAAAGACTGTTCTTCGCTGCATTTTTAAGAGAAGTGATAGCCTGCTTTGTCAATAACATACGGATGACACTTAATCTAAAGAGCGACTTGAAACAGAAACATATATTTCAAGAAAAAAACATCATCTCACATTGGTGATATATTTAACTCGTTTTAGAATTTCCGGTGCACAAACAATTCAATTTCACTTTGTCTACATTGAACTAAAAACTAAGAAACAATTATTGCTGCTTTTCAAAAATTAGGCCACGGACGCAGACGTATTTGTAACAAACAATTGAATATTATTGCTCGAAGACCTTTCTTAATTATGGATAAAACCAATGAAAAACAACAAACTAAAGCGAATATTATCAATCCAACGCATGATCAAATGATACAACACCTTTATCGTGCTAACCAAGTTGCAAAACGTGCATTACAGTTTGGTCATCATCCTTTTGGTTGTGTACTTGTCGCACCAGACAATGAAACTGTTTTGATAGAACAGGGTAACATTGATACAGTTAATCATGCTGAATCAACACTTGCTCGAATTGCTTACACTAATTTTTCTCCGGATTATCTTTGGGGATGCACACTTTATACGACATTTGAACCGTGTGCTATGTGTACAGGTACATTGTATTGGGCCAATATTGGACATGTTGTTTTTGGTGCAACAGAAAAACGTTTACTCGAACTCACTGGCAGTAACGAGAAAAATCCGACACTTGATATTCCTTGTCGTTACGTCTTTGATCATGGCCAGAAGAACGTTAAAGTATCGGGTCCATTTTCTGAAATTGAAGATGAACTTATCGAATTACATAAAGGATTTTGGAAATAAAACAAAAACTATTACATTTCTCTTCGTAGATTTTACATTAAGAAAATTCAAAGATGTTTCTTTTTAAAATGAATGTATATCATATTTTCATTCCATTTTCATAATCGATCATAAATTACGAAAACAATCGATTTTCATTTAATTCATTATTAGAAAATTTAAACTTGTTAAAAGTGAATAATTGAAATTTCGTTGTAACAAGTATTGAAGAATAAAATAATTTCAACAGATAAGTTCAAACAACATGTATTGATCTTTCGAATATATATGAATCTATGTAGAATTTATATTAAGTAGTTAATCAAATATTATTAGAAGTTTAATAATTTCATTTCTCCTTTTTTATTGTCAAGTTGAACAAAATCATTTTTTTGAATAATAACAGTTATCTTAATTGACAAAATATAAGAGAAATGATCATACTATTGACAGAATGAGATTTGAGAAAGTTTACAAAATATTTTAAGAAGAATAATTTACTTTGTGAATAGTAGCATCATTCAACCTATGTGTGTTAACTCTAATTAGATAAACAGATAGATAGTTTGTTCCACTTTCGAATATAAATATATATGCTATTGTGTTTTGTGATATACGGTCCAAAATGAGTGTTGAAGTATAGGAGCAGAAATTTGGAGCTTTCTTTCATCGCTATTTCCTCCCTACAGATCATAATACCGTTAATTGAATTAATTTTTTTATTAATAGCATGTGTAAAATATTTAGCCTGAAAAGAAAATGCTTTCCATTGAATATTATCTGAATAATATTCATCAAATGATTTTTGGTTGTTATCAGTTGACATAGATACAATCTATTATATAAAACTTCGACATCGATTACACTATTGGATAATAAAATAATATGTTATTATTGCATAATGGTCTGTCTAAAAACAAATTAGACGAAATGTATGAAAAGTCGAGAACAACCGTGTTTCAACCTCAATTCATTGCTATCGATTTAAGTTGATTAGACACTATTCAACCTTTTTTCACGAAAAATTTTGATTATTATTTTTCTTCTGTATATATATCGCTTTTTGTTATCGAACATTTGCTATATATGATGAATTCCAATGTAAGTAGATAAAATAATTAATGAATCGAATATTTAATAACAAAGCCTTAGAAACAGAATGAAAAAAAGTAAAATTGTTGTATTCGAATTTAATTCAGTTTTTACTATTTAACAAAGCAGTTGTATTAAATAAAATATTTTTTTTTTGCACAAAAGTTCTATGTGATAAGAAACTTTCATTTTCAAAAAGTTTGTAGAAAGAAAAGATTATGAGCATATAATAGTTAATATTAACTCTATAAAATAAAAAGGAATGCATGTTCAATTTTGATCCACGTTAGAAAAATAGCAAACTCTTGCAAATAAATCGTCAATTGTGACTTTAAAAACAAATTATGTGATTTATCTTAAAATTTCTTGTTATTTTAATAAAGGTAATTACGAAAAAAAACAGAAAAGTCTCTTTTATTTTAATGAATAGGTGTTATCTTGAGCATTTGAACAGCATGTCGTTCAATTTTTGGTGATGTATAACTACTGAAAAATATGCCAACATCTTGCCGAGCCCATAAATCTCGTACTCGAGCCCATTGATTAGTGGGCCAACCCAAATCAGTCCATTTGACTGTGATTATTTCGCTAGTAGTGCTGTTGCGATTGAGCAATAGAACAGCTTGTGATCCGTCAAATAATGGACCCGCCCATATTTCAATATTTTGTGCAACGGTCAAACATTGATCATTATCTGTATTTTTCAATAAACCATCATTTTGATTCCATAACCATATTTGACTATCTTGTTTCTTACAATAAGACACACTTACAATACGTTTATTATGATTATGAACGTTCAAACTAAAGATAAATATTGATTTAATTATTTAATATCTTCTCATTCTTCTACAGGTACAAAGATAAAAACTTACCATTTTCCATTAAGTTGAGAAGTAATTGTTTGTTTGTGAATGTTCATTGTCCACTGTTGATTTTTACCTTGGCATGGTGCTTTTGAATTATCGATATAACATGAACTAGTGATAAGGTTGATTGTATCATTTGAATCACATTTATCAATTGTTAAACATTTTCCATCAACTCCTAATCGAATTCTGCTATCATGTGGATCATATATCCATTTCTGACTTTGTTTTAGACCTTTTAGTGAGGAACAATCACTCATGAATACCATACTTGAAGCGTTCGGTAGTTCGGATGAAGAAATAACGATTTTTTTTCCTTGTACACCTAAAGGATCTTGATTGACAGCTATTACTTCAGAATTTAAATAAATGTTTAGAGTAGCTTGACTCATCGTTGTCACATCACCACCAATCAAAAGTGGAGCTTTACTAATCGCCCAAAGAGAGAAATAAGATATATATTCCGTATCTGTCATACCACCATTTCCTATTCGAAGCACTATTTAAAAAAACGACAAAGCTTTTAAAAAAATATACCTCTCGAAAATAATCTCACTATCGGGATCATTCCAACCACCAGGTGCTGCTTTATCAGCAAATTGATTGTTCTAAATAAGATCGAAAAGATTTTTCAACATAAAATTTATAAATCTACTATATCCATAGTGCTGATCATTGAATCCCAATTATCCAAAATATCTCCGGTTGTTCTCCAACTATTACCAACATCTGCAGCCCATAGAGCCGGTGTGTCAATGCCCCATTCTATTCAAATATTGTTATTGACAAATAATCATATTATCTTTATTTATTTATTTTTTCAAGATATTTACCGCACAATGAGTACAAAATAGGTCGGCCAGTAGCATTTAATGCATCACGCATAACTGGATAGCGTACTTCTGGTTTAGTACCATCTGTATTGCAATTATCATACTTTAAATAGTCGACACCCCATGAAGCATATGTAGCTGCATCTTTTTTTTCGTAACCTAAAGAACCAGGTCGACCAGCGCATGTTTTGTATCCAGCATCTAACCAGTAAATGAGATATAAACAAAAACTGTATAAAAAAAAATGAATAATAGATATAATCATACCTGAGTATAAACCAAATTTAAGTTTACGAGAATGAACATAGTCAATGATAGCAGGCATGCCACTGGGAAATGCTTTTGGATCAGCTTGAATAGTACCGTTAGCGTCACGACTTATCTGCCAACAATCGTCTAAGTTGACTAAAGAAATAAAAATCACATAAAAAGAAGATTTCAATCAAGAGTATTTGAAAATGCTCAAAACGAACTATATTCATATCCAGCTGCAGCCAAACCACTATCTAAAATTATATCGACTGTCTGTTGAATCATTTTTTCTGTATAATTACACCAAAAATTATACCAACTATTCCAACCTGAAATAAGTTAATTAGTTTAACAATATATTTAAGTATTTTATTTCTTTTACCCATTTGTGGAGTTTTTCCAAGACCATTATTAAGTCCATAAGATACGTTCACTAGCATGAAAATAAGTAGAAGTCGTCTTAATATCATCTTTATTGACCAAGTAAACATCGAAGAGAGAAAAGTATGTCCATTTACATAGAGTTTGTTTCTGTTTTTGTTTAAGATAAATATAGATGACTATCTTATTATCAGTTATCTCGAATTTGATATCTTTGTATTTATGGGTTTGAAATATGTCATTGATAATAGTAAAAACAACTGAAACATAATTTGAAATAGAACTACTGCATGAAGATAAATTAAAAGATTTTGTCAATGTAAGATTTATCGAAATATAGAATCACCATTTGTTTCAATGTGCAAAAATAGAAAAAGTTCTAATTAATCAGTTTGTGTAATATTTTACTTTAACACTTAATTAATTGTTTGATTTACGAATACGATGAGAGCAAAAGAGAAATATTTTTTTTTCAATTTTATAATAAAAGAAAATTCTTATTTAATATATAAATGTTTATTGTTAAAGTAATTTGATAGATTATAAAAAAAAACGAATATTTAATCAAATGTTCACGAAATCTATTGTACTATTTTTTTAAAATTCTAAAAAAATTAAACTTGACTTTACAATAAAATTATTTGAGAATATATTCGATAAAAAAATTTCACCAAAACGTTCATCGTTCATTTAAATGTGTTTAAAAAATGTTGATTTTATTTGATCTATGCAATCGAACTTTTCTATATCGAAGCAATCGCATAATTCCAATCGTAATAATTCCACAAATAAAACAACATGTTGTACCAGTAACAATATAAAATGCATATGGATGTTGTTCAAAGCCATTTAATAAATTCATTCCATACATTCCTGTAACAAAAGCGCCCACTCCAAAACCCATTGTTATAATATTAATTCGAATTTCAAATGCAAGAAGTTCATTTCGAACAGCATCAAGCATAAAACCCGTAGCACTTTCAAGTGTATGAACTGAATCAGAAAGATCCGAAATAGATCGACGTACTTCGGCCATTTGTTTAGTACATGCTTCAAGTAAAAGTTCAACTTCTATATGATCGGATATATCTCGTTTACGATTATCAGTAAGATACATTCCAATCATATCTTCATCTTGTGCAAGAACATCAACGATAGCTTGATGTGCAAGATCAGCATTTCGTTTATATTTATCAACTTTTTCTTTGAGTAAAGCAAGTTCACGTAAACTTACAAGAGTAATACGAGCATAAGCACGTTCTCGAACATTTTGAAATTCATTTAAAAGTTCATTTGTTTTTAATTTTAATTGACGAGCAACAGTTTCTAAATTAATTTCCGCTATTCGAAATTCAAATGGTATTGGATCAATATTATTTAATGTAGGAGTAACAAATCGTTCATTATAAAGTTCATGTATATATCTGACATTTCGATTATACGCTTGAGCAATACGTTCCCAATGAACAGCATCTTTTATTCCAAAAGGTTCTGCTATAACTTTATCAGCAGATGGAACAAAAAAAATGCTTCGATCAGATTGCACTAAACTTCGAAGTCTTCGAAATGAAAAACAAATAAATCGATTTTGACGTATATCAATTATTGGAACATTAATAAGAAGATCAGTATCAAGTTTTTGTAAATCTCTTGGTGCAAGATTATATTGTTGACATATTTGAGCACGATCAAATGGACCTCGATGAACTTGTAAATCACCATCTTTAGTTAATATAAATATATCACAATTTAATTTATGAGAAGAACTTGATAAAAAATCTTCGCGCGATTTTGATTCAGATGATTGAAATCGACGTAATATTCGACTATTTAATAAAGAATTATTTAAATTAAATAGATTATTAAGATTTCTTTTAATTAATTGAAATAAAGGTTTTTTTGAGTTAGTTCCATTTAATTCCTTTAATACTACAGACAATATAAACCGCATGATTTATAATATATTTGCTTTTTCTTATTTTCTTATACGAATCGGCTTACACTAAAGAAATGGTAGCCAGCATTCATCATTTATTTTGTCCTACACACTACAAACCAAACGTAAAGGAAGAAAAACAAATAGGCAATTTTTTTCCTTTGATGTAGCCAACATATAACGAATAAAGCATAAACAGTCGATACAAATCATATAATTATTGTCGTAAACAAAATACATTCGGAACCTCTTTATAGATGAAAATTATATGTATTAACAATCGGAAATTTTTTTATTATCATATTGGAATACATATCTTCATAAGAAATTTCTAAAATAAATGAAAAAGAGGTCGACTGCAGTTTTAGTAAAATTCCCACAATACGATTAGTTCGTTTAACATACCAATCAGATAGTTGTCAAGCTAAATTTGTTGTGATGACATATCAACCGTAGTTAAGTTAACTATTGTTTTTAATGCGGTGCGAAGCACAGCATTTATGTAGTCCGTCGCGAGTTTTTTTTTTTAATGCGGTGCGAAGCACAGCATTTATGTAGTCGTGCGCGAGTTTTTTTTTTTACTCTTTAATGCGGTGCGAAGCACAGCATTTANATTTCAATAACTGATGAGTGACGCTGATCCGAACACAGTTCCATGGGACACAACCGTAAGGAAGGGGGTGGAATGCACTTTAGTAACCATAACAATGATGTCAGAACAAAAATTGAAAACCTCTCAAAAGTGAACACCTCCATATAGTAGACACTTTGAAAAGGCCTCTTGGATGTCCACTAAAGAGGTTCTACTGTATATATGGGCGTGCTCAGTTAGCTTGATACCCCAGATCACTTTTAAGTACAATTACCGGAGTTCTATGCACTTATCTTGCCCAAATCCCAGCTACATTTTCGCATTGATCAGTGGATCGAAGATAACCGAAGATTGCATAGTACAGCTAATGGTTATAATCAAAAGTGAACTGGGTATGAAGCTAACTGAGCACGCCCAGACAGATAGAGTGGCCGTATTTGCCATGACAGCATAAAAACAAGAAGCGAACATATGTTGACAAAGAGAAATCGCACTGTGAATCATCGGATGAACCAATAATAACGAACTTTTCGCCAATAGGTGCTATTTTCGTGAAAAAGGAGGAAAAAGAGGTCAAAAAAGAGGATTTATTAAAAAAAAGAGGTACAAGAGGAAAAAGAGGTCGAGTGGGAGGCCAGGTCAAAAGTGATTGCATATCATTCTGTTAATCTATTTCAAGAAAACAATGCATTTTCGAAGAAAAAGAAATTTTTGATGAAAAATACTTTAGGAAAGCTGTTGTCCACCTCTTATTCGAGACAATTCTTTTGTTAGAAAATATTTTATGCATACATTATCCGATATAGTTTCGTGCGCTGATTACAAATATACCACTAGTTTTCAATAGAAATGCTTATGAGCCTTGAAAAACTTGCCATATGATTGAGGATCGTTTATGACAATTTATACTAAATGTCATGATAGAGGACACAGAATAGAATATTCTTAGACAGTATGAGCGGATTTGGATTGTGGCGGTAAGGAACAAGCGTTCATTCTACTGAACTCTCAGCCATTCTGATAATTAGTTTAGAATTTGTTTTTCTCAAATAGCACGCACGCAAATAAAAATATTTCTTCGTTGATCGATATTAGATGATATACAGATTGAGAATATCTATTAGATATTCCTACCAGTTGGTTTTGTTTTGTTAAATATTGATTTCATTATCAATATGAATTTTTTCAAGCTGATTTTTTTAAAATTCTGGTTACCCTACTCTACTTTGGATCTGTAACAGAAATGATAACGTTATTAGATAGAGCATATCTTAAAGCATACCTATTATTATTTTAATTGATGAAACGTTCAATCTCGTTTTTTTTCGTCTGATGTACATCTGAACGCAGACTGTGGAAAGAGGGGAAGAAGCTGACTCGAAATTTCTAGCTCTATTATTGACCACCTCTCATAAATCGTGTGTTTCAGAAAAATCTGTATTAAAAATTGAAACAATTCTATTGTAGTTTAATGTAAAGACTAGCTAGAGATTATAAATTTGATAAAGAAGAAAAGATCATCATTTTGTTTTCATAAGTTTAGTTTTCTAAAATAATATTTATTTCTGTGTCAATATTCGAATAAAATGATATATGAATTGTTATTAATAAGTGTAAAACATACTTCAACATGAAATACAGAATTAAATTGTACAGCTAATTCATGTAATCTTAAACCAAGATCATCAGTATTCATATTCATTAATTTTTTATCTTTTTTATTTTCAAAAAAAGTTCGTAATAAATAACGAATTTGATAAAGAATAGATGGAATTTCAAATGTCAAAATTTTTCTTGTAAAAACAAAAGAAAAAAAGGTGAATAATTTATATTTATTAAAAATTATATTTACTTTTCAATAATTTGTTGAAGATTTTTTATTAATTTTTTCGCTGTTGCAACTGGTTTTCGCCATTTTTTCATACAATTAACTTTTTTTTCTATTAATAATTTTAAATCTAAATAATCAATAAGATTTTGTTGATGATCTTGTGTTGCTTCTTTAATAAATTGTTGAGATTGTTCAATAAAACCAAGATGATATGCACAAATAGCTGCACGATAAAATCCTTTAAAATTTTCATCTTTTTTTAATTTTAATGATTGTTTAGCATCTTCATAACCAGAATAAAAATTTTTATCTTGAATATAAGCAGCTGAACGATTTGAATATAATAAATATAATGGAAGATTATCTTCATTATTATTTTCAATAAGTTTTATTGATTTACTGTATGATTCAATCGCTAACAACCATTCTTTATTTGAATAATATTTATTACCTTCACTTTTATATTCCATGGCAGTTGATGACATTTTTTTTTATTTTTAATTATTTGTTGATTTTAAATCTAAAACAGAAAATTGCATTTCTAATAAGATTCAATAGAATCGATACGAACGAATTATGTTAACGAAAAAATTTTACGATCGATGATGACTGTTTCTTAGCTATTACGTTTTCGTCTATCATGTACTAAAATTTAACGACTGATTTTCTATCCGTCAAGAAAAAAAACATGTGCGCAAATCCGTTATGATTGTTTAAATAGCGGACGAACAAATAATTGCAAAATAATCAGAAAGAATACTAAACGATAAGAAAGAAACAAAAATATCTAGGCCACATATCGAGAGTTAACAATAAAATAGATATTCAAAGTATATTTTCTTTACGTTTAATATCTTATGAAAATAAATTTCATTTGCTGTTAAAACAATCTGAACAAAAAACATTTTTTTACAGTGAAACGAAAAATTTTGAATTAACTGATTCAATTTATTGATCATTTCCTTCAAGAAAATATCGGACTTATTAGAAATTTCTTTATTTATAAGTTTACTTTTTTTGTTTTCTTTAGTCTTTTTAGAAAATTTATTTCATTGTTTTGTATACTGTTATAATAGTTTATTGATAACACAAATGCATTATATTTTGATATATACGTCCATTGATATTCTACTAATTTTTATTTTATCTTTTTCAATAATTCTTTGAAACTAAAATTTAAAAGAAAAATATTTATTTATAATGTAACTAATCAATTGGTAAAACAATAAAAGAATTTTTCTAAAGTATGAACAAAAATTAAGGAAATAGATTAAATTGAGAACAAACACAAATTTCTTTTAGCACAAGCAACGAGAATATATTTTTTTTCTACCACGCTGATAGTACAAATTATTTAATATATTATAAGTTAAAATAGCATTTATCTTTTGTGGATATAAATGATGAGAAGGACGTTTGTAACTTGCCGATCGATTTTGTTTGTCTTTTTATGTAATCAACGACTTTAATTTAGATTGCCTAGGTTTATATAGTAAAATATTCTTTTCATTGTCACTTATAATTATTATTTTCAGCGGTGAAAATTTGTGGCTGTGAAGATGGATGTGGGTTTGTGGATGCTATCTTCTCACACACGTCATTCACACATAAATTCCAAGTACAAAGGAAAAAAATAATCATTGATTTATAATAAATAAAAAGGTCTGAATAATCTCATCCAGTTGTATATTAACACCTACTGGAAACAATATAATAAAGAATAATCCTTCTTAATAAATATATGGAAAGTTTTTCTTGATAAGACATCGTGATAATTTGTTACTATCACGTTCGTAACATGAACTTTTTTCGCTTTTTGAACTTATTCAAATTTTAATATCATTTTCTAAAATTTTTTATTTAAACCTAATTGCTAAATAGCTCTATTAAAGTGAATACACCAATGAGATCTATCGATATTACGACTAATTTTAAGACCAAGAATTGGTTTCCCGATCCAGCCTCATTCGTCACGATCATTTGTTATACTTCCAATTCCATGTGCAAAAGTTTTTGGTACTCTTAATGAATTTAAATCTGTCAGATTCAATGTAACAGAATGCTTTGCTTCATCGTTATCACTTTTTGCTACACAAACAATCTTTCGTTCAACATCATATTCATGGTCGTGAACTGGAACAGCTTGAATTATATTAAAAGCTTTTCTTTCAGTCATATTGTAGTAAAATCTGAAAGATTTAAACAATGATTTCTATTGTTATCAAGATAGAATTGATCTGCTAATTGTTCTTATATACTGGGTATTTCCTATTTCATTGAATTTCAATAACAATTATGCATAGAGATACGAAAATTCATCCGTCATGAATATTTTATTAATACACATTATAGAATATCAACTTAGAATATATTCAAATCGATTAGAATTCACCAATTTCCAACTTAATCAAGCAAAATCTTTAACTTGAAAATTTTCTCTTATTTCTGCACTTTTTATCACAAATGATTTATTCGAAACAGTAGAATCAAAGAAAATAATAATTTTTTTTACCTTTTTTTAGATATGATATATATATATGTCTAGTATCTATTATTCTATATTTTATTATATTCTTATATGTTTCCTTCTAATTGCTTTTCTGGTAGTTTTTTAATTTTAAACACAGTCATTATAATTAGGTGCCAAACATACTATGCGATCTATGAAATGTGATTGGTGTTTTCATGTGACAACACTAGTCACATCACATTTCTTAATTGATTTTTAATTTTCGCAGTATGTTCGATGCTTTACTGATGTAACTCACACACACACACACTACTGTGTGTGTGAAGGCTGTGTCTGAAGTAAAAAGCTACCGAAAAAGACATTACTATGAAACTAGTGCTATATATGTAATTGGACAATCTTAAATGGGTTCAGTACATGTAGGTACAACCACCAAATTTTACTTTTGAAGTAGATAATATTGTATTAGTAAACGCTCTGTCATCAGGATTGTGATGCATAAATGGTCAATATCTGTGATTTTGTCGCGATAGATGTTCTACACTAATGTAAAAATTCTTATGAAATCCTTCTAACTGACTTTGACAAATAAAAGCAATAATTGTATTAATGAAAAAAATGTGATTTTCCAGAAGCATCAAATAACAAATTATAGCTTCTTATATGTCTCAATAATAGCTTACCTCTTCTTTGTCAAATATTACAATGATGTTAGATGACGATAATATTTCCTACATTTCTATCATATTTTGATTTCTCATCAAAGGTAAGTTCTGCCTCATGATGATGTTAAACTGCTTATCAGTCACTCCTGCAAGACATGTTATATAAGATACATCGAGGAAAAGTAAATAAATATGAACGTGAGATAGAAAATAAAACACAACAAACATATGAACATGAATAAAAACAAAAGATAACAAAAGTTTTTTCAAAAAAGACCTATGTAAAATCCTGATAATCCTTATTTCTGTTTCTGTTGCTAATGGACTTGACAAAAATGATATAACATAGAAGAATTCTATCAAGATTCAATATCTGTTTGAAACGTATCATTTCATCTAATTAGTCTTTCGTCAGATGGAACTTAATTGTTGATACATGATAATTACTTATAATATTATTAAAATTAAAATGAAATAGTCACGATAGTACATTAATGAATAGGACATTTTCATTTCTCGAAAGTCTTGTTTTCTCTCCTCGATAAAGCCGCTTTATATCATCGATAAATAGATATTTTCGATATGGCGAACTACAGAATATAAGTGAATAGAAACTGAAACATAACAATAAGTAACACTGCAATGATTGGCGCATCTGTAGGTGAAAGAAGTAAATTAACATTTTAAAGCTTGAATATACAGATAGTTTTGTTTCATTTACAACATTCTAGTGTTTATGAAAAAAATAACAAAATTCTTTTGGTACTCTGAAAGAAATTTTTGTCCTCATATAGACATCATAACAAAAGTCTATTGTTATTAAATATTTTTATTTCTTTAAAATAAAGATTGAAAATACCATCAAAATTTGATTATCTAGACAGGGGTGTAGCCAGAGGATGCAATGAGTGCCTGTAAAGTGCCTTGGTCAGACAACACCTGGAAAGAGAGTACAGATAAAAATTTTTTGCAAAGCAAAAAGTTATTTTTCTGCTCGTAGGCACTTTCCGTGGAAAATTTCAGGCTACGTTGCTGTATCCAGCTAAAGACTAGTTCCTGAGGAGAGTGTGCTGTGAACTTTCCTATTAAGATCCTATATGGTTCGTGCAATATATCAAAAAGTTATTATATCAAGTAAGATAGTTGGTTACGTTTGGATAAATATCATTCATGAATCGCTATTTCTCTTTGATCATTATCCAGCATACACCTAATATTGTGAAACACGTTATATTTTATTGGTTGAAAAGAGAACATTATTTCACCTTACCACATTCAGTATTTTTATACTTGATAGGTCACAAGGTGAAAAAGATGTATTGAAAAGAAAAACTCACCTTAAAGCATATTTTTAGATAAGACATAAATTCAATGGATAAATTAAATTCAAATCAATCAAATAGAAATGATCATCTAATATAAAACAATTTGGAAAAAGAGCATTCATCATTATCATCTTCATTTGTTTTTCAAAACTATGTTTAAGTAACACTCAACACGCAGAAAAGTTTATTATCAATTAAAAGCATCAATATGCATATCACAAACATATGAAGAAGATTTTTTTTTGGTTCAGTAAGTCTTAATTCATTCATATTTAGAATTAGTTTAAACAAAAAAAAACAAACAGTTTTATTTTTAGTTTCATATTAATTATTATGGTGAATTTGAACAGGAAGGTTTATTTCTCGCTTCTGTTCGATCTATTCGAATAAAACCAAGTGAAATAGATAAGCAATACGTATCATCTTTTGTTTCAATGACAAATGATGACAAAAATAAATAGTTACTTCGAGCCATCATTCGATAAGTATGATTATTAATTTTGAAAAAAATCAATTTATCTACACAGTTTTTCAAAATTTTAGTCAAGTTAACTTCTAAAATTGATATGGAGTTCAATATGAAAATGAGGTCTTGGTTTTTTTCCTCTTATAAAAATTACAGTGATTTTTTCAATCTTTGAAAAACATCAAGATTTTTATAAATTTTCTTTTACGTTGATATCGGAAAAATGAAAAGTAATTCATTAAAATGCCTTTTTAGAGTATTTATTTAGGCAAATATCATTTTATTTTGAAGGTTTAATTTTAATATTTCTTTTTATTTCATTTGATCAAAGTACACAAAATAACAACAATGACATATCAGACACAGTATATATTGAAAATGAAGAAAACATTTTGAAATTTCTATTAGAAAAGGCTGAATTATCACCTGTGTCACATTGAACTTGTTCACAATATCAAAGTAAGAAAATTACTAAACAAAAAATATATCAATGCACTTATTTACAGAATTATATGTCTTTAATATAGAAAGAAAAGATCTTTTTTCTTGAAAATATTTTCAGAATTGCTTCTTATAGATAAACTCGGAATAATTGTCAAATCTATGGTAACTAAAATAACTGAAGTGATCGGGTTGTCTTTGAACAAAAATATGCATTATTTGCTTCTCAAAGATAAATATAAATTCCCGGTTAACGGATTCTTTCAATGTAAATCGGATTTATTTTTCCGTATTGAATAAGTAATGTGGAATAAATGAAAGAAAATTATTTTCTTTGTTTTTTTAAATAAAGAGTAAAGGTTTTTACCAGTTCATTCTTAACACAAAAGATGCAGAATTTTCTGGCAAGAAACTTCTATATTTCTGATGCTTTTATGTGACTTCATTCTTTGAAAAATGATTCGATTAGTCATCGTGTTTGTTTAAAGCATTCTTCTGTATTTAATTTTTTATCAAGAAATAATTTTTTTTCTCTGACATTTGTCTCTGATGATCGGAAAATTTTAAAAAAATGAATTGTCTTTTATTTGTACAGTTTGTTTTAGTGAAATATATCATTGTAGAGCTTTATTTTGAATTCTAAAGATAAAGAATTTTATAAGCTACACAATTCCATACTAATTAACTTGTTCAACAAGATTTTCATAAATTTCATGATCATAGAAACAATTGATGTATTTTCGATGACAGTTCAAAATCTTTTGAAAATTTTTCAGAAAGGTCTCTTTTTTTCAGCAACGTACTTTAATACTTATGAAAAAAAATGTTGAAAATTTGGAATATCACTGAGACTTTAACTATAACGTGTAATTTTAATTTTTACCTACTTCTACTGTACAGCAGTCTTCAAAATTGGGCCAACTTTTTGATGAGTTGACCTGGCTCGATCTGCATTCTATTAGAGCCCGTCAAGCTCGGATTGATATTGATTATAAATATATGTTTTTAAAGAAAACAAAACGAGAATCTCTATGGTATGGAACTTAATGATGACTTCGATAATTGATCAGAATATAATAAAAGCTTTAGTATGATGATAATCACGAGTTTAATAAGATCAAGCGAATCAAATACTTTTAAAAGCAACATGAGAGATAAGATGATTTTCCTATTGGACCAGAAAAGAAGTATCTATTTGTCGGTACTCTATTTTTATGAGGTCTCTCATTCCTTCTACCAAAAATTTCTCAAGAGAAAATTATTTATTTGTCAATTTAACAAAGTTAAATAGATTACTATTTGCAGCTTACATTGTTAACTTTAATCGAATGCTGACAACGTTCCACTTCAATGGTATTCATATCGATTAGTTTAATTAATGCTTTGCTTATTTTGTATCTAGGTGAAAAACATGTTTTAATTGAAAAACGATTTGTTTTTATTTTTTGCCTGAACGAAATTCACAGAACGCTTGTATAGAAAAACTTTTTGGCTCTTATCAGTTGATTTTCTTTGACAAAAGGAGTCAAGTTCGAGGTAGGCCACCCATTTTGAGACCTGTTCTATGCTTTTTCAATAAGTAAATGGAACCATATTTTATAATTTCATATAGAAAATGTTTAAAGAGCAGATTATTTTCTATATTTTGATACCCAAACGAACTCTTGAGGACATTCTACAATGTTCATTTACTTTATGCTATCTGTTATTGTTTTCTAAAATGATTTAATTCAATTTATTTATTTATTTATTAAGTCAAATGAAAAAAATCTTAAATTTGACAAATATAATGAATAACAACAACTTTCAAATAAAATAGCTTTTATTTCTCAACATTTAAATCCATCAAATGAAATCGAAATCTTAAGTAACAATGGAATGTCCATTGAAATGGAAATTTTTCTAAGTTTAATTAATGAACATGTCCAATTAAAAGGTTTTAATAAATATCGTGATGATCTTGATACAAAATCAAAGCAACATTGAATTTATTCATATTTTACAATATTTGAAAATCATCAACTTATGTTTAATGGAGCGCCAATGATTCCATCTGATAAAAATGATCGGCAATTTATTAGAAGAAAAGGTTTAGTTGAAAATGCGTTATTATGTATTGTTTTTCAAGAAACTCTTTTTCATAGTTAAGAAAGAAAAAACAAAAATAAATTAGTTTTAATTTTACATTAAATTTGGCATCTTGCTGACCTTGAACCAATAGTTGATCCACCGGGTGGCAATTTTAAACATGAATAATCATTTCGAAATTATTTTCTTACATTAATTTTGAATACAATGAACATCATTTAAGAAACACTTTTTTTTATACACGTATTGTTGAACAAAGACATTGTTTAAAGCATGAATATCTTTAAAAACTTTGTCGAACCTTTTATTATGATTCTAAATATGATTTATCAGCGTTATGTGACAATACTAGCACGTCATTCATAAAGACAATACACCAATCTCAGCTTCCACGCACCGCCAGATAGTCATACCTAAACAACCCCTTTCCATGCCATACCTCGTACCTGTGCATCCACATTCCTACAGAAGATAATGCTTAACCAAAATATGTTTCTAAGTAGTCTTTTTATCTGTAATTTCACATATAACAATATCTGTTTATGAAAGCCTATGGACTTCCAAGAAAAGCAACAAAATAAAGCTTTTTTCGCGTACCTGATTTAGAACCTGCTACTTATACTCCAATCATTACTCCTATAGAACAAGATCTTTAAAGATCATTTTCTATTCATACAGCTGTGGCTCTGTAAAACACCATGCAATACAGATACTTTTGTGAGAAATATCGCCAAAGACTTTTTTCAGTGATTGATTAATTTTCAAGGTATCTCTGAGACTAAAGTACACATTTCAATGGAAAAAGACTTTTAAAGGTTTTTCCCGAATACGCCTTATTCCCCATATGTTTCCGTAGAAATAAGATTTGGTTCCGATATGATTCCACATGGATACAACTAAATACTCATCAATATTAGTATCAGAGTTCAGTACAGTTGCACGATTCTTTCAGTCACGGAAAGTGTTCGAAAAAGACCGATTCTGGCACGCTTATTTTACGATCGGAATACTGCTTTCATCTTCCACAAATGATTTTTCAGCAGGAATTACATAGGCACCAGACGGAATTGACGAGAAAATAGCTCTTCTTCGGCGAGCAGTTGCGGTATCTGGAAACCATAGGTCATCGACCTGAATTGCTGTATCACGATTTTCTTCAGTGAAATTCGTATACTCTTATAATATTAGTCTAGTTGCACTAATATTGATGGGTAAGCAAAGTGTTGTTCAATGATATAATGAAAGATGACTGTTTTGATTGCTACTCGAAATTACTTGAAATGATTTGAAATTATGAAATTAGTTTGTTTCCTCTTGCTTTTTCTGAAAAAAAGCATATTTTTCAAGAAGAAGCTGACAGTAATGATAAAAAACTTTCACTAAAAGACAAGATTCCAAATAAAAGATAAGGGCATTTATGAAAGATCAGACCTGGGACTATTTTTCTATGTATTGTGACACAACTTAACTTTTTCAAGGGGGACTTAAGTACGGTACATCGGTACTTAATTAACTTTTTTGTGAATTGATGTTAGTCGAATTTTTGCTACTTCGAGGCCATTCTTCATGAAAATCAATCTGACTGATGCCAGTCGATAGAGGTAAAATATCGTTCTCCTGTCCATCATCCTTTCAATCTATGATATTCTATATTGCAGTCAACGGAAGTTTTGATCATAAGAGCTACCCATTAACTCAAGCGATACAGACTATCATACAATAAAACCTGTATTTGTGAACACTTTTCTAATGTGATTAACCTGTTACAGCAACTGCCTGTCGGCTTCGCCGAGCAAATCTGCCGGCTTTGGCTCATTCTAGTGTGATCACCTCTGGATTCTGAATTTAGAAACGATTTTGCGATCCATTCACTTTACATCAATCTCCTTATGTGGGTGTTGGCAGGATACCTCCTACACTTTCACTCACATAGACTTCCATATGCTTATTCGCACACGCAACACAACCAGCCGATAGAGATATCATCAAAAGAAGGAACGTGTGGGTAGATCAATTGAAAAAACACCTGATCGATCTCTTGAAGTTCTACAACAATAGATCTTTTGTCGAATTCAAATAATCAATTAATTTGCTATATATAAGTAATCAAGAAAGAAATACTGAGTTATTTTCGCTGATGCGTTCCGCGTTGTTTATTCAAATATGAACATTCATAAGAGTGTATATATTGTTTTAAATATTTTATTGACGTTAGTTACAAAGGAAAGGATCATATTGGTTATTGCGTTATTTTAAAACATAACAATAATAAGGTAATAAGTGACGGTGAAATTTAATTACGGATTACCTAAAATGAATGCTCAGGGTGTTTAACCTGATAAAACGTGCTTTCATTTTGGAACTATTGAATGAGTCTTTAGTGACTTTAAATTTGAAAACACATGAGTTAAACAAATGACAATAGTAACTAAAATCAAAGAAATAAATAAAATTATTTTCGATAATGAATTCTTTAACTCAAAGTCCTATGTACTTTTCTTGGATTTTAATCGAATTTTCAAAATTCATTTTTGCATTTTTCAGTTTTACTAATTTTATTAACTTGATAATGAATTAATGTCGGATATTGTTTCGAAGTGCGCACTACCATTTTTTGAATAACTGTTGACCATTGATAGATATCAAGTTCATGTCTTGGCCATTCGATAGAGCGGCCAGGAAGACCTCTATCCATATAAGACTCATTAAAATCAAAGAAGTTTTCTATTGATGTTTTCAAAGTGAAAATTTTTTCATTCTCTATTTTCATAAGTTTTCATAGCAACCTAGGCTCAAGTTACATTAAAATGTAGCCCGAAAAGTCTTGTATTTCCTGTAAAATTTTGAAATCTTTCTTTCATTTTCTCGAAAGGAATTAAGTTTGAGAGGTGAAATTGAAAAAATTTCCACTTTGAAAACATCCATGAAAAACTTGTTTGAATCTAAAAAAAACTTATATGAAAAGAAACTCACTCACCCCCTGCGTCGCTCTATCGAATGGCTAAGACCCGAACTCGATAGCTATCAATGGTGAAGAGTTATTCAAAGAATGGTGGTGCGCACTTTAAAAAACTCCGACATTAGTTCAATGTAAAACAAGTTGTTATGTGACTCCATATGTTTAATCATGTACATTAGAAACAGACTTAATTGGATTAGCCTTCATGTTAAACTAGGCACAAGTGTTGAAAGTTCATCAAAAGAAATATTTATTTTCCTTTTAACCAACAAAACATTAAACATATCTTTCTATTGTGAATCAGCAATGTCAAATTAAATATTTTAATCATTTTTTCGCATTTCGGATACCTTCTTACATTCATTTACGCCAGTTATAATTTCTGTATTCTTGATTTCTTAGATATATATACAGTAGTGTCTTTATCTAAAGAAGATATTTTTATGAACATGCTCATTAGATTGCTCAACAGATTTAGTAGTCAATTTCATTATTTATGTCTGAATTACTAATTTGATGTACCTTACACAAAAGGCGTATTAATTATGGCAAGAATTTCGAACTATAGTCCTACTAAACGAAACCCAAAAAACAAGCATTGCTCGGTAGATATTCTATGTATAATATTGAAAATTTCTTGAGAATATTTTCGCCATCCAACAGTTTATCTTCCTATCACTAGAAAAAATATAGATTGCCCCAATGATTAAATAAGATTATACGTTAAAGTGTGTGTTTCTTTTATTTGCTTATTACGATAATAATATAATTGAAATTTTTGTTTAAATAAATGCGATATATTAATTTGAAAGAGAAAGAGAAAATAAAAAAGATGATCCATTACTTCATTGAGATGGAAATAAATAGATACATATTCTTTTCTGCATCATAAAGAAATATCTTATTGACACAATATCATTATAAAAACACATTTTTAGATATGATAAACGAATGTTTATCTTGTGTTGTTTCAACAAAAATAAACTGTCACATATAGGATAGATAAAATATTAACTATGAAAAAGTGCTTTTATATTCAGACAATATATTCTAATAGGCATTATCGACGAATACTTTTCTTTTTTAGATAATGAATACATCTTATATTATCGTATTACTTTTAATCAGTTTTAATTGTCTGTTATTGATAAATGGCCTTCCACATTGTCGAGAAGGTTCCGTGTTTCCTGATTGGATGATTGGAAATTTTCATGCACAATTCGCTGATGGTTCGTCGGCAAATGGAAGTTTTGGTTTATGGTATGCAAATGTGACTTTTTCAACTGGTGAGCATGGTTTATTAACAATGACCTCACCATTACGTAAAGGTGATGGTTTTTATATATTTCATGAATGTGTTCAGATTCATGGAATGGAACCTCAACATCGATGCTCCCTTTTAGTTCGCAATCCTAATGGCGGTTATATGGAATATATTCATAAAGATCCAAAACTTGTTCCCCAATGTCCAAAATCACTCCTCTCATCGGGTCTTGAAATTGAAATTGTTACCAAGATCAACTGATTTTCATATTATTTATTATTTTAAATTGAAGAAAAAAAAATGGAATTATTATGAAATAAATGAATAAATTTAAGAAAATTAATTTGTAAATGGACAATTATAAGTAATTGAAACTTTTTCAATAAAATTGATTTGAGGATAATTATCAATAATCCATTTATTTCCTTTTTCTGCATATTGGTCTTGATCAACACCATCGGTGCTGCCTAAAACAAATTAAACTCTTAAATAACAATCAATTACTAGAGGAAAGAAATTCTAAAAATAATTCATTACATGATAATTCAAATATCAATAATACCTAAATAAAATTTATTTAACAAAAAATATTTGAAAGTTTTTATTTGCACTTTTTAGAAGGTCCTTTATTGAACTTTGTTTTAATAATAAACAGAAAACCACTTGAAATCACAGTCTTACAAGGTAAGACGTTTTTGTAAGCTTTCCTACGCTAGCCTAAAATCTTCGCATCCCTACCTTATCGTACTCTAAGATTTCTCGCTTTCAGCAGATGTAAACATAAAGTTCTCTTCACGATGTTTTCAGCATATTTTACTGATTTCCAACGATAATCAAATACAAAGTCATCACATATTTCAAAAGTTTCGCAAAAATAGAATGTCATGAACAATGCCGCAGCTCAATTCTGCCATCTCTCTTCTAAAATTATCCCGCTTGCGCTGAAAATATATTCACCTGTGGCTGAACTTGTTGGCACTGACAAAAGACTCTTTTCAACACACTAAGTTGTGCATAGTTCAATACTGATTCTTCTTGACTAAAACTTAATTTCTCTTTGAAATAACGATCGATTTTATCTTAATCAGTGATTTGTCAGAAGTGTCTTCGAAGTTGCTGTCGGCCAAAGACTCTTAATAATATAAACAAGATCCTAATTCTACATTAAGCACTGTTTGTACCATCCAAACTCTATCCTCCAAGGTAGGACTGATCTACCGTACAGGACTTTGTCTGAAACATTGTTTCAAATAGTGGGCTTATGAGACAATGATTTTTTATATTTGCAAAATATTTCATGAAAGCAATTTTATTTAAACGGCTCAATTTTTAAAAAAAATTCTACAGTAAAAAATTCAAATAAATATAAAATTAATCGAAACAATTGTTTTGATCAAAATCCAACTGTTATAATAATTTTAGAAATTCTTTCGATTTATAATCCAAACTTAACTGGTTAAGGATCTGGCTAGAAAAATTCTTATTAAAAATCAAAATCACCAATGAACTCTTCTATGATGTCTTTTTTTTTCTAGTTGAATATTCTTTTTAGAAAAAAATTGCATTTTGTCAGAAAAAATGAACTTAATACAAGTCATTTTTAAACCTAATGATTGGTTTAAAATTAAAACAATTTTTACATAATATTGTATTTAGTCCACATATCAAAAATGAATTTAAATTAATTACTTAAGCAAAGATGAAACTAAATATATTAATCAATTTTTAATTAAAAAGAATATTTTTTGTTGAATAATAAATCATTTTATTAGAATCTACGAAGAAATAACGTTTTTCAGATGAAATTATATGCATAGAAAAGTATTATGTCAAAAACTTTTATTTAAATAATACCTGGTGTTGGATTAAAAATAGCAAGAGCTGTATCAAAACCAGTTGTCACGATTCCTAAAATTTTATAAACAAAATCTTAAATTAAAGAAAATATTTTATTTATTTAACCTAAAGGTGAGAATCCCAAAGAATCTAAACGCGGATTATTAACGTAGTTAATAAATAATTGAGTTGTACGAGTATTCGGACCAGCTGTTGCATATGAAAGTGTACCTTTGCTATTTGACATTTTAACTGGATCTAAACAAATATAAAATAAATAAATAAATAAATAAATGTTATTATAAAACCATCTTGAATCGGTTCATTCCAAATAGTATTTTGTATTGGATCACCACTTATTCCAAATTGAACAACAAAATTTGGAACAACACGAAAAAAAGCTGATGGGACCGAATAAAAATCAGAATTTATAATATCAAATAAATGATTTGCTCCAATAGGTGACCAATTTTGTGTTATATTTATTATTATTGGATTTTTTGATCCATTTACATCTGTATCAAAATGTACGCAATAACTTGGTGGATAACCACTTACACATAATTTACATAATGTTAAACAAAGTAATATTTTATATAATATTGACATTTTTATCTACAAATAAGATTATTTCAATGAAAAAAATGTATCTATTCATCTCATTTTGAATTTCAAATAAGTGACTTAAATTACTATTTATTACGCATTATTGTTGTTAATAAATGATTTTATTTTATGATAAGATAATCGACATTTTTTTTATCAAAGAAAACTTCTCTTTACAAATTTGTGTTAATCTATTGAGAAAAAATATTATTTTTTTATACCACGAAATTGAACTTTGTCAAACAAGGATAGTTCTATATATTGACTAACATCGAAAGAACAAATTTATGATAACTTAAAAGAATCTTAATTTAAAGGATTAACATGTTCTAGAAAAAGCTTTTCACGAAATTGAATGATAGAAAAATGCATGATGATATACTCAAAAAACAAAAGATCGAAAATAATACAAAACATGAAGAAATACAATTATGGTTTTATATATATATACATATTATTTATTCATTTCAATGTAAAAAAAAAAAAAGACAATTTTCGATCTTCCGTCGGAGTATTGTTTATCATATCGTCTTCATGAATAGAAGCATAAGAATACTAGTATCATAATGAAATATATAATCATAAATTATATTTAATTATAATCATCATAAACAATCGTCATCATAGATACAATAACTGGATATGATGATATTGTCATTATGTTATTATTATTTTTATTATTATTATTATTATTGTATCTATGGTGGTAAATTATTTATGATCATGTATATCGGGATGATAATCCTATTCTTATGTTTATATTCATGAAAACAATATGATTGACAACGACCGAATAGAAGATTGAAAATTATCTTTTTTTTTCATAGAGCTGGATGACTAATATAAATATAGAAAACTGTTATTTTTCTTTGCTTTCTGTGTTTATTTTTGACTAAATCTCAAGATAGTAAAATATTTTTTCAATAGATTGTAACTATTAGTAGTGAAGAATTTATCTTGGAAAAAAAGAAAGTCCAATTCATAGATCCAATTATTAAAGAAAAACAACGAAAGGGAAAACCTATCTCACAAATTTCAAGATTTGAATAGATTCAAATTAATCAGGAGGCATCGTTTTTTTTCCAGTTATTTCTTAAAACAATTTTCATATAGAATTAAACCTAGACGATTGGCTCTCTCTAATTGCAATCTTAATGAACTAATATTGGCAAAAGTATCAAACTATTCTCGGTCAATATTTTTCAAGTTTTTTGGTTGTGTTTATTGGCAGAGAATGCTAATAATTGCGAGATAATTAATTCAAATTTTATTGGAAATTCAATTCTTTAACATACAAATCATTTGCTTAAACAGAATATCAGTTATTATATTTGTTCTGAGGTTTTTTAAAATGAAACATTATAAATTAAATGTTAAAAAACAAAATTTTGATAATTAGAACAACAAATACTATAAAAGTCTTATTTCTAAATAAATATTTATATAAAATTTATTCGGTTTATTTAATATGATTGAATAGAGAAAAGATTTATTAAAGTTACGTTAAAAACTCATTAAACACTAACTATAGTTCATTTTTGGTCGAAAATGTTTATTTTATCGATGATTTCACTTTTTTTAGTTCATTGCAAATGAATTAGTTTATTGATGAAATAAATTATTGAACGATTTTTTAAAAAATAAATTGATTTTTTTTTGTTTCGGAAAAGAAAAGATTTATTATATTTACAAATAATTTCAACTTACTTATATATTATTTTACTTGATAATAAAAATGATGTATGAAGAAATATTCTTTCTCTTTATCATTGTTTTATCTTGTCTTGCATTCGTTTAAACATTGAATCGTGTGATGCAGATAACCATATTTCATTCTTATTCATTTAAAAGATAATTAGCGTGAAAATAAAACTGCCTATGAATAAATAGAAATTATTTTCTATTTGAAATATTTCATCAAAAAAATCAATATTTTTTATTATATCTAAATAAAAAGCTTCTTCTAAAATTTAATAGACGTTGTTAACGTTAACGTTAATATAATATAATAGATTTTTTCAGATACTTCAATGTTGCACTATATATGTAGCTTTGTGGCATTATTCATGAGAAAGATACTTTGAATATATATCTGAACATAATAATTGAAAATTTGATTTATAGGTGTTCAGATATTCAATTATTGAATTTCACTTTTAGATTTGGTATTGATAATAATTACATCACAATAGATAATCTTGTTGTGCCTAAAAGTAATTAGATATTAGTGTTATCATAATCATTCGACGGCAAATAGTTACTATCAATGTTTCTTCACTGAAAGATATCTAGATTCAACGAATGTAATATTGAGCTATTATATACATGATCATCATCATCAGATAAGCAATAGATATATTAAGTGAATGAGTAATGATTTGGCATCATATAGATCTAATAAACTGGAGCGTCTGGTCTTCTGTACAATTGCTCTACAGCGAAAGTCCTATAATTATCTAGAGTGACAATATTTTTAGGATTATAACATCTAATTGGTTTCACAGAGTTTTGAACAATTGTGGGCATTGGGAGCCTATGAATTCTCATAGACTTGTAAATTCACAGTTTCTTCTCTTCCACTTGATATATATGTACAGTGATGTTATAAAATGATGCTGTGATACTAAAAGCATAGGAAAAAGAGAAGATTGTCGGAGTTATAATCTACATAGAAGCTTAGCCCGTATGCATACGGATCTGCTCAACAAAGAATTGATTGCTTTGTGCAAAAGTTTATTAATGAGACTCTTGAAAAGTCGTCGATGTTATTTCTATTCACGAAGGGCGGATGATCGTCGGATCGCTGAACTGTTGAACCCGACAGTACACATGAGATAGTCTCTGGTTCTTGGCAGAGGAAATTATGAAAGAAAAAAAATTGAAAAAAAAAATTCTACATAAATACGAATACGAAATATATCCATTACAGACTTAGTCAAACAGTTATTTCGAGTTACCTTTATCGTTCTGGGACTATAGCGTGTCATGATTGTCTCAAGAAACAACCTTATCTTGTTCCTGATAATAATATAAAGGAAATGTTTCTATTCGGAATCAGCATATCCGTTACACAATCAGGTCGAATGCACTGTAGCAAATTTTTACAACCTTATCATATTTAGCAAAGACTACCCTGAAAAATTGACTTTCTTAGGAAATAATATGGTTCGATATGGTGATGAAACCCTAAAAAAGGATTTTTGAACTGAGTTCAAGTCCAAAATCAAAGGGATGCAGTGTACGGTTCTCTTAATATAGAGTATGACATCGAAAGCCGTCGCTTTGTGTGAACCAATGGAGGGCTTATCAACAACTGACAGACCTAGTTAGCGAAATGTGACACATACTAATGGTCACCTTGGTTAGAATATAGGTACTCTCTCTTTATAATTTTCGAAAATTTAACTCCAGAGAATGTAGTGTTCACAATATAGACATTCAGACTGATGCTTGAGAATAGCAAGCGAAAAAAGTGAGTGAGTAATATATACAACTAGAAGACAAAAGTTTTAATGTCACGATTTGTTCGATATCTGATCTGAGACAACTCAAGGTTTTTTAAAAGCTGCACCTTTATATATTTGACCTAAGTTTTTCCAAGCATTCTTTGATTCGATCTAAGGTTTGGCTCAACCTATGCCGAGTTTTGATGACTACTCTACATGACTCTTGCCTCACAGAAGGAAGAGATATTGGTTCATTTGAACGCACAACTTTCTTATCTACTCTAATGGTGTATACAAGACGAAATAAAGTAGTGATTGATTTACCTGTGCACACGATCTTATGAAGTTAAGGTTGAGGATAAAGCAGATAGTTATTCATTCGTTGTAACAAGATAAAACTTATGCTCGCATATTCGAATGCTATGTTGCAAATGAAAACAAAGTAGAGAGATAAACTTGAAATTTCAAGAACGCAATATTATCATTTCCACGACAATCAACACTTCGGTTGGGTGATCCTGAGATCTCAAAATAAGCGAAAGAATTTCTTAAGAATGGAGAAAGCTATGTAGTTGCTTGAAATGTCTTCACTAAATAACTAATGATGGTTCGAAATATTTGTCGAACTGTGGATATGTATTTTTCTGAGTGTAAGTGTCACCTGCATAGCATCATCTTTACATCGACACATACATCTACTCTCATATTCACATCCAACCACATCCTTGCTGATATCCATATCCATATCCAAATTCACACATACACTCACACCAATCGAAACGGCTAACATAAAAGTACTCTAAACACGATAGAGGGGTACATTGACTGAAGGACAAATTTTCTGATATTGAATCGTAAGCCACTTATGAACGAAGATTGACGAATATTTTTAGATTCTTGAGTCTTTCCAGGCTTGATAGATAGCATTTTTTATGAGCAAAGTGAGTTACAGCTGGAATCTCATCCAATGTTTTGTTAAAGATGATTTGGATACGCGAGTATGCATCGTTGAGAATTCTCCAGAAGCGATCATTCAGATCGACAAATGTATAGTATAAATTAATGTAGAAAATCAAGGAAAAAATATACAAAGGAAGTCTAGTTTTTTTTCAATTGAATTCTATACAGATAACTAACAATATCTAATGTTCTGAATATTAAATCGTTGGATGCGATGATTGTTAGAATCTGCTACATAAAGATTGCCATTTCGATCGAATGCTAAGCCTTCGGGACAATTCAACTGGTTTGCATAGTCTCCCGAACCATATCCACCAGCAATAACACTTCCTTGTGGCGCATCTTTGTACCAACGCATCACTCGATGGTTCCAATAATCAGCTACATAGACTGCCTCGAATCTATCGACGAACAGTCCTGTAGGATAATTCAATTGTGTTCGATCATTTCCTTTGCCCTTACCACCAGCCATGATATGGCCTTTTTCCGCATTTTTTTTCCATTGCATCACACGATCATTCCACGAGTCCGATACATACACAGTTTGATCTTGTCCGACGAAAATGTATGTCGGATGATTCAGTTGATCTAGATGGGAACCTTGCCCATTACCACCTGCTACGACTGTTCCATAGTGACTTCCTGCTCGATACCGTCTAACTTCATGTAGTCTTGTATCAGAAACATAGAGAGCTCCTTCATCGTCAATAGCTAATCCATAACACTCAACGTTGTCAATGATCGTCTGTACACATTTGGATTTTCCAGGGGGCAATCGCAAAACTCGTCGATTGTGATAGTCACTGATAATAAAACTCTTCGATCTTCTGTCGAAAATCACATTTGTTGGTACACACAGCTGGCTAGGTCTATATCCATCAATACTTTTACCAGCCAACCTTGTCCCCTTTCTTGTGCCTCGATTATATTGCATAATACGATGATTTGAAGCATCAGCAACGAAAATAATTTGATTCTTATCGACGTGAATCCCTTTAGGGCAATAAAGCCTATCTCCCTTGTAACCTGGGCCATGACCTCCAGCCAGAGTGCGACCATTCAATGTCCATTCTGCACAGTGCACAATATCCGATATATCTGTGATGAAAGAGACAGATGATGCAATGGAAAATTGAGAAAACTTTTTGATCTGTTTGAAATTAAAAGTTACATGTAAATTGGTTTATAATAATGAGAACTTCATTAAGCAAGCGATACTTTCTAGTTTACGAAGATGATTATGTATGGCTGTACAACATTTATTTCTCTTCCTTCTCATACTTAGTGACATTTTGGCAGCGATCTTACTTTCTACAGGATTGCACTAGGCAAAGTGATCTGCACAGATACAAGTCAATATATGTGTGATGGAATGCAATGCCACATGATTAATCTCCTTGTCTGTCGAGTGCTCTGCTCCAAATAATCTTTGTTCATATCCTTCCTCTTCTCCTTCTACATATCTCTAGATGCTGATGTTTTTGTGTTGCTTCACTAGTCGATAGGGTTAGAGACCTCGTTGTCTACTAAAATATATACAAGAAAATAGTATATTTTTATTTCCTACTGTTCATCTACAGCATGCCTTGCAACTAACCTTACGATTCAGAGAATCGATAATTTCAGTCAGCCAAAACATTAGTTCTAACTCACAGGAGACTGTTAAATATCGTTTGCTCAATATTTATGAATTCTTTTTATTTACGTATAGCTAACGAATACTTCAGTTGCAAAGCGGCTAGAGGGATACAGCTTCGATGTACATAACTCATCTGAACGACAAAGTAACTACTTAAACATACCAATTTTCCTATGTCAAAAGCATATTCGACACTTCTATAGATAAGAGTACTGTGCAGCAGAACTTTTAAGGGTCAAGACAGCCATGAAAATTTTTCGTTCTGTCTCGTTGGATAGACGACATCCGCAGAGAAGAATAGAATAGAAAATTTTGAAACCGAACGATTCAGATTTCTGATTTGAGAAAAAGCATCAGGCTTCCTATAAAAACAACGATGTATGAATCTATTCGAATCACTGTTTGTTTCAATCATCGCTTCTGATTAACATCGAGCAATAGATATTTGCATTAGTTTACGTAAGAGAAGGATTGGTTCAAAAATATTGAGCATTAATGAAAAGGCTTCATCAAACATTGCAAACCTTCATAACATGCCGATTCTTTCTCTACGAATTCTTTGCTGAGGGTACAGAACATACTAGTATTACAAACTCATTCTTTCATGAGCTGATACTTCAAGTCATCTAATTTACTAACTAGCCCCTACGGACCGACAAACTAACAGATAGTCTCAGAATCTTCTTTCCTCTGCGTTGATATTAACCAAATGAAACTACTGAAATGATTGCAACTCAGAAAATTCATTTAATTTGCATCTTTAACAGCTTCCTTCAAGCAAATTACGGAAAACTCATCTGAAAACACAATAACATGCCTATGCTTTGTTTTATACGTACCAGTTCTCACTTCATTTAACAACACCTCCCAACTTACAGGTAATCCATTCATAGATAATGGTTTTTGTTTCTTATTACTTTTCCTGTACACGTCTTTCATAATTTGTCTGAATATGTCACTGATACGGACATTTTCTTCAATAATACTTTTCAGTAAATGTTTCATGAACAAACTATTACGACCTCTTTCCATCGTGTCTTTGACTGTTTGATTAGCTGCACAGGCAAATTGAATGAACGTTCCTGGAAGTGCCTTCATTTTACCAAGACTTTTACCTTCAACAGGAGCTAAAAGCAAACGAATATTACATTTATGAAATTCTTACTACGCTGACGTACAAGATGATGATTCAGTGTTCTTCAGAAAGTATGGTCTACAGCATTCCAAGATGAATATAGTGGCGTTCGAATGATTTCGCTGTACTAATATCCTGAGTGCACTTTCTACATTAATGCAGACATCTCGAGCTCTCATGTCACTTTCTATTTCTGCATCACCAACAGGTATTAAAAAGTTTTTTTCATTAATCTTCTGAGCATGACCACAAAAATAGAACAACACCGAATCTCCATCGTTGATTGATTTGGCGAAATTTGCGATCTGATGCAGCATTGTTTTATCGACATCAGTGTATAATGTAACATCAAAATTGATTGTCTTGAGCAAATCACTCAGATCACGAGCATTATTGATAGAATGATTGAGTTTATTGTATGGTTGACTGTAGTTATCGTTGCCGATGATCANCACAAAAGCAGAACCGATTCTTCCCTGTTTATCTTTGCGATGGGTGAGATAATCTTCCTGTTTTCTCATGTTTTATATATCATTTTGTAGCTCTTGAAATTCTCTATCGAATGGTATATAATAGTTGGGGTTTTAATTGACTATGATAGGAAAAGTCTTTTACGAAAGCGGCGATGGGTCGATTTTTCCATAGGAAGCTATAGGGAAAAATGGGTATTTTTCAAATAACTCAGGAACGGCTCGGCCGATCCTTCTCATCTTCGAACTCGACCGAGATATTGTAAAGACTGAACTGTATAGAAAATTTCATCGTGATCGGACTCTCCTTTCGAAAGTTATCGTGTAAACGGCCGGCCGGCCGGACATACTGCCCGATTCTAGAGTGTACTCACTTTTTGAGTACACAATACTCACTTTTTCAGTACACAATACTCACTTTTTCAGTACACAAAAACACATATTGAGTCATTAAATACATGCCCACTGTAAATACCTTACGATTGGAATATCTAATTTCAAGCATGTAAACAGCACTCTATATTTTAAATTTGATATGCATTTATCTTGAACGAAAAGTAAATGAGTCATAAAGTTGCAAGGATTATACGAGTTTTGATTAGACTGAAAATTCCTGTAGTTGACATTTACCGAATCCTTGTGCTGAAGACTGAAAGTGAATCACAATGATCTGAAACGTTGATAAATCTGTCAACTCATTATCAGATGGTACCTAGCTTGGTATGTACTTTTGGCTTATGTATGCGACTATTTGTCGATGTTTGTAGTTGACTTCGCGAACTCTACTTTTAAGCTAGTAAAACTATAGCTAAGGAATATTTCGATGTTATTGAAAGTTAGCATCTTTTAGAGATGCCATTTCATGTCACTATCTGTAGCATCCTCATTTTTTAGCTGACCCAAAAGTTGACAACGAGCAATATCTAGATTATGACTGGGACGAAGAAACAGACGGAAGTCTCGAGACAGCAAAAATGGAGCAGGCAAGATTGCAAGCCTACTATGACAACTTTCCAAATATTGATGACGCTACAAGTAGCACAGGATTAGACATAATGGAAGCTATAGAATTTACGCAATCAATATTACGCACATTACCATCCGGAAACGTTACTGAACGAAGTACTATGTGCCATGTATTGACCAACTTGTTCGCGAATCAAAATATGCAATGTTTATTTTTTGATTCTGCTCATGGTAAAAACCTTCATGATGCATCCAGAAATTTGGCTGAAATCGACTTAGAAGATAGACCATTTGTGTTGAAGTTAAACAGCAGTGAAGGGCTAAGAGGAAATATGCAACCAAAAACTGAAAATGGTGTGATAAAACTAGCTCGAATATTAAGCAATGCAATTAACCAAAATCAATCTCATCCACTTATGGAAGACATCCGCAAAAGGTTAGCAAAAGCACATAACATTAGTAGAAAAGATATTAATTTTAAAACCGTTTACGTTGGATCTTTTAATGTGGTTTATACATTGAAAAATTCGACAAATATTTCTGTAGAGTCGCTCGTAAAAGTTCGAGAAAAACTAAAAAATCAATTTGAAGAATTTATAAGCTCGAAAATTCATCCGTTATTCTATCGCCCATCATTTGATATTTCATTTTTTGATGAACGTGGTAATAAAACGTTTCCCTCTAAAGCCGAAATTCACGAAGTTGGCCCACCTGGCTGCACTGAGAAGTATTTTCAACCCGCTAAATGGACTAGATATGGATTAAACGTTATTGGTAAATATGAAGACGGTGATACTTGGCTGGATCCATTTCTCCATCCTGGAAACTGGTACAGAGCTTTTCATGGAACTGGAAATGCAAGAAGTGAAGATTTTGGTCATTTGGATCAGTGTTTTGACGACAAATATGCACCTGTCAATGCCCTTGCAAATATCTACGAGAACGGGTTTAATAAAGCAAGAATCGCTGTTTACGGAGCCGGCGTTTACTGTTCTCCAAATCCTAAGATTCCTGAAAAGCAATTTACCAAAGCCGTGGACGTGAACACACAGCTAGGGAAGAAAAAATTTAAATGCATGCTTCAGGTAGCGGTGAATCCCAATGGTGTTCGGTTTGTTAAGCAAGCGGATATATGGGTCGTACCCAATCCTCAAGATATTCGACCTTATGGCATACTAATTAAGGAAGTTTGATTAAAGACAGCTACTAATTTTGCTCATTTGATTGTTAAATCTGTCCTCCACAAAATCGGCCTCACAAGTTTGAGTTTCCTAAAGTCTACCGTGTCTCACGCAAAGGAGAATGTGGTTCATTTACTACTTCTTCATTGCTATCTTTCATGAAATAATAATTTGAGTTTAAAGCGGCGCTGCAATTCAAGTTCATCTTAAATTGTGCATTGTACGTGTCAGATTGTGGGTGTGCTTTGGTGTGACAGCGTATGCGTCAGCATATGTGGCGTATGAGTGAAAGTATGAGTCTGTGTCTTTTCTTCATTCGCAACTAAACATTTCTAGAAATCCAGTCGATTTTCTGAAAAATCATATGGGACATCATACATTCAAACAGATCATAGAAGCCTGACGAAAAGCATTGATAATAATGAATAGAAACTCAATTGTTTTAGAAGTAATTTGTTTTGAATTACCCTATAACCTATTTGTTTCATTAAATGAAAAAGAAAGGAGGAGAAAAACACCAGAAATATTATCGATTGGTAATGATACAAAAGAAAACGTGTAATACGCCCATCATCTACATCAAGTCCGCATCACAACTTCAATATGTAGCTTAACCCAGACACTATACGAAACGCAAAAGAAGCAAGTCGATAAACGTCATATAGGTATTCTTTTTTCATCTTGCACCATACTACGGACACAAAATCTTCCCTGTTGTTTCAAATAATTGAACATCGAATTTCTACATCAACTCGTGAGAAAAAACATATGGACATATAATGAATCGTTTTGGCCACCTTGAGCTTGACACTAAAAGACTTCCAGCGGTTTAGGGTTATTATATCCGACCATTGATATAGTTTGATCGAGCTTTAGGAACTATCCATTCTCATATTGAACAATTGTCTCGCTATATCAAAATGGCAAAACAAAACTGCCTTTTTGCATCATAGGATGCTTTTGCTCGTGAAGAGTCAACTGTTGTTTATCTCTCTACAGTAGGACGGGGCGATTTGAATCTTCATCGAGTAATGAACCGATTCCTGTGATTCGAAAATCAATTTAGACTCAAACAATGGTTTGCTGTTCTCAAATTTTTTGATACTGCCCCTGGAATATTATCCATTGTAATAAAATGCCTTTAGTGATGTGCAAATGATGACATTAGTGAAAACAACAAGAAAAATCAGTAATTCACCTGGTGATATATAACTTCTTGCTCATGGTCAGTCGATATTATTGAGCAATATATACATAGTGGGCCATAAATTACTTTAGAATAAGAAATTTTAAGTATCTCATTTTTGTTTCAAGAAATCAGGTTAGTTTTCTTCTCGGTGATGGAGAACCATTCAAAATTTTATTGAACAAAAAGATACTAATAGATATTATTTGGAACTAGCAATACTATATTCAAGTGAGATGTATACTGTTAACAAAAAATTTTCTTTCTAAGATCTGATTTATTCATAGGAATATTCGCTAGAAATGTTTTAGCATATCGACCACTTGTAACTTTAAATCAGTAAGATCAGCTCAGTCTTGATCGATTGAACTGAAGAGAAGTTATAACGTATGACAACTCTTCCCGTTTTGAGTCCTATAATATGACTTTTATACTTTAGAAATGAAAGAATTTTGCGATTCATCCAGTCGATTTGTACATATCTGCAAATGTAACTATCAATGTTATAAATTTCATCGAGTTTCGTTCAAATGTGCACAACCTATTTCACTCCTCAATTATAAAACTCACATTGAGAAGAGCTGTCATACATCGTGACTTCCCTTTAGCTCAGGCAACCAAGACCACTTTGATCATACTGACTTACATTTTTAAAGCCGTATATGTGCTGAAAACTTGTGACCTACAGTGTTAAGTATGACCGAGATCTCAAAGAAAAAACCTTGTTTGTCAATAATATATATCTGTCATGAACTAGGGAATGCTAGCTCATACCAAGATCTATTAATACTTGTGTATTAATTATCTATTTTGAATAGTCTTCTATCAGTGAGAATAAAAATAACTCGATTCATTGAAACAAGGTGGAGATACCCAAACTTTCTATCGTGAAGTCATTTATGGTCCACTTGGTAGACATCAACGCTTTACTTTTTATGATCGAAGCTGCTTATGGCAAGAATGTGTTTGACCATTCGAATTCCAGGTGAGAATGAAGTATTATTAGAGCTAGGTACTTGAGTAAGGGTCACAAAAGAACCTTTTCCATCATAGGTGGTGGTTTAAGTGTCGTGTGTTTTGTGGAACTATCTGACGACAGTGATGAACAATTGCTAGTGGTTCTGATCGATATAAGTGTAACAACAAAGCTAGTTAACAATGTCACATACCGTGAGTATCGCATATCAAGATATTGTCTGATAAGAAAGAAAATTCTAGTTACATCGGGATTGAGATGAGATTTTGATTCAATAGGCTGAATGGCATCATGGTCAAACAACAATTGCAAACTCACTTTTAGAAAGCAAACCAAGTGTGGATGTACAACTTTCAAGTGACTTTCGAAGTACCACGATACATAGTTCTTCATAATATGGACATTTATCGATAGCAGAATTACTACGAAAAAGTTCATGATGCTGGCATGAACATTAAAAATGAATAAGGCAACACTGGTTTTGAAAATGCTAGATCTAAGAAAGTAACATCTGTGCCAGAACAATATCGCGAGAATTAGCAGAGAAATGGACTGATCACTGTGTATCTGTTTGGAGACGGTGCTGCCCACGCATTCAGAAATGTGAAACTAATGTGTTAAAACATTTCGAGTTTTTTTTTTTACTATCTAAGTCATTGTGCACAGTCAAAAATGACCCAAAAAATCGCGTTTTAGTTATGCCCTTTTTGTTACACTTCAACGTAGTTATGACAGTCTTCAAAAAACATTTTAACACATTTTGCATATAAACGCGTTATAACGCGTAATTTCAAACATTTTTGGTTTTGTATAATGCGTTTAAACGGAGAGCATTTTAATGCATTATACGTGTATATTCGTGTAAAATGTACACCTTTCATCCTAATCAAGTTTATACCAGTAAGCTTTATACCATCCAAATTCGATAGAGTGCAAAATGTTGAGTTTTATTCATCTGCTCAACCAATGATTTCTAATCCTTCGAAATAGTTGAATGAATGAGTCAACTTAAATACTTAATACCAAATATAAATCTGATTTAATTATACATAATTAATTATAAATAATTGAAAATAAGCCGATTCAAGTTGATATTATATAGATCTGAATCGATTTTTACAATTATAATCAATTTAAAATGTTAATTTCCTTAATAATCAGAGCATTGATTAAATTCTTCGAAATAAAATTATTTTCTGAAGTGATTTTGATTAAATTGATTTTCATCCAAGCTTGTAAAAATACAACAGTTGTCCAGCAAAAAAAAATAGATTAGTTCGTTTGTAATTCACAATAATCATGATTTTTGCTTGGATATTCTTCATGAGATATTAAATAGGTTCCTTTTTGGGGTAAAATACCGTAAAGTAATCTATTTAAAAGTGTGAGCGGAACAGAAACATTATTCAAAATAACTTCTGGTTTTACAATCACCAATGGCATTACAATTATATCAAGACTCTTTTTAGAACTAAAATAAAAAAATGCATAAAATATACTAAGAAGGAGCAGAGAGGAAAAACAACTTAAAGATGATCTCTAATATTGTATTTAAACAAAAAAAAAATACCAAATAGTTACAAAATAATTTAACTAGAAAAATGATATTTTTAGAATATTTCTTTTATGAAGCTATGAAACGAATACATTATGGAAATTCATAATCAGTCGAATTGTTGGCTAGTATCGTCTCGTAATTGCTTCTAATAGAGATATAATGTGAAGTAAATTAAAGCATGTCAAACATCCAATTTTTACTGATATTAGTTAAGTTTACTCATTTTAAATAATAAACTATATTTTTACTTTGATAGAAAGCTAAATATGAATGAATCAAAAAAAACAAAAACAAAAAAACCAAGCTTATCATAAGAGTTATTGTAGAAATAAAAAATATTTAATAAAGTTCTTTTTTATGATCGCTTTCAATGTCTCAGTAATATTATTGTAAGTATTAACATTATTTATGCATAGCGTTTCTTGAGAAGAGTTTTAAAAAAATTTGTAGCTTTATGCGAAATGGCTGCTACTTGTTCTTGTCGTAATTATCCATTTTCTTCATTGAATAAATGAATTTTTTTTAATTGTTTATTGTGAAGGACGATTCTTTGGAAAACAGCACAAATAACTTCGATTTCTTTTGTATGTAATAATTCACTACCAGAATCTGAAAATAAAAACATCTGAAAGTTTCAATGTGTAAAAGAGTTTTCAATAAATTCACTGAGTTCGAAAGTTCGCTTTTGTTTTTTTTCCACGCTATTTGACAGTCAATGACGGGGTAGAAAAAAAGTTGACATATCTGCCAGTTTCTGTGTTATGAACTGTGTCGTTCGGTTTTCTCACTAAATTTCCCAACATTGATTCCAAATAATGTACGATAAAAGAAAGCCGAAAACTGAAGCAAAATAATTCAACAGTCAAAAAAAAATCAAAACGAGTAAAACAAAACGCAGCATGAAGTAGATAATGATTTATAAAATGTGATTTAGATAGTCAGACACTACTGAATTAAGAATCTTTTTGAGGATCGGGACGGTTCAATCAAGGTAAAATTTTGAAAAATCTAAATGAAATTTGAATATTGAAAATCCACTTTTTTTTTCTTTTCCTTCTTCTTATCTCCTAGTGTATAGACTGAAAAAAGATAAGTCGACAGATTACTCTCACAATTGCATAGATCGCCATGGAATATTCTGTCCGACAACAGTAGAAATGTTTCAAAGACATTCGTATTATAATAAAAATTGATGGATCGTACTACCCATTCTAATCTTAAAGAGATTTCACTGAAGGATTTTTCAATCTTCTCTTTTGTAACCTGCACTTTTCTCGTTTTTCTTTACTGAACGATCTTTTCTACATGATTATGAGGTAAAATGTTTAAATATTGTCTTCATTTTTTATGATTCTGTCATATTGACAATGTTTTATTTAAAAATACGATCTATATTCTGTCGAACATAAAATGTATCATTAATGAAAAAGTTAATCAATTCATGCGACGCGATTAAAAATACATTGAATATATTTATTGTTTATTTTGAAAATACGAATTATTAATGAGACACAATGTCAGATCAAACTTTATTCATCACGTCACGTTTTACAACAAGATAAGTATTGTGTATCATCATTAAGGATACAGAGACAACCGATGCTGAATCTATTTATTCTTTTATAAAGCATAGATTTTTACAACCAGCATAATTTCATTTTTTCCAAAAGTAACGAGAATACAAGTTTAGTTTTGTCGAGCATTACGTTACGATTATTTTTTTTGCTTTCTGTTTCATTGTTGAACTGATTCGTACACAGTGATGTACTGGATGCGATGACCGACAAATGTGAATGAATACAATCAAAAACTATTTGAAAGTTTTCTTAAATTTAAAAAATCAGTAAAATCCTATCTGATAACGAAAATTAGCTTAAACGGTCCAGCATTTTATGGTCTCAATGCAACATCACTTCGTTTATGGTCGTTTGCTTCAATAGCATTTGTTGCTTTAATGTATCTGACCCATGTATCAGTACCGATCAATAGATCTATGAGTGTTGTCATGGATGCTGCTCTGCTTTACGGTGGAATCACTCAAATTTTAGCTGGTTATCTAGAATATGTGATGGAAACAACTTTGGTGCTTTGACACTGTTCATATGGAGTATTTTGGCTTAGTTTTGCGTCACTTAGTGTATCTGCTTTTGATTTTCTCACCGATTATAAGGATGAATCCGTTGTTTCCTACTCTCATTTCATATCAAATCATGCGATAGTATGGACATCTAATCTCATTTATTAGTAGATACCGAGAACTGTTTGTTATCAACTGATGACAAAATTCATGAAACATAAACCTCAATCGATGAAAGAGAACGATGATTTCTTTCAGTTACGCCCATTTTGCATTTCAGCATAAACTCACATTAAATTGTCATTCATTGCTCTGCAATCTATGTTTATGAAAATAAATAATCAAAATAGATACCTTTATTAGCTCGATATGATGTAGCTCAATCTTCAATAAAAATGATTGAATCAACCATCAGATTAAAAAAAAAAGGCATGTTCACTGTATCAGATATTGAAAATAAACTTTTTTAATGTATTCAGAAGCAAAATGCGTTCGAAAAACATCATGTCGTCAGAAAAAAGCGAGCAAACACGATCTATGACATTCAAGTTATATTATTCGAACAAGTGTCCTTGAGTTTGATGCTAATTCATTTGATGGATGTCATACAATTCCATGTTTCATGTACTTCAAAATATGGATAATTGTAGAAACAAAAATGCTTAAATTTATTTTTCTAAAGGTGGCATATAATTAGATTTGTGAAATCGAACAAGTAATCATATCTTTGCATAGAGATACGATTTCAAGAAAACATAGACTTGAAGCACTTTTTTCTGCAAAGTTTTTATTTAAATATGATTTGTTGTTCAAACAGGTTCTAAAATGAAAAGCAAAAAACTTGAATTATAACTTTTCTTATTCGAACTTCTATTTGAAAATTATTAACCGATGTTTGAACTGGAAAATGTCTTTTTTCAAAGTGTCAATCGTTTCAAAAACGTATAGCGAACTAATTTCATCGTCAAAATATCTTTTATTATCCTTTATGGAAAAAAAGATCGAATGAATTAAACAGCAAGATGCAGGAGCGGCACAACCGGAGGGAGGGAATCACTCCCTCCTGCTCCAAAGTATTTTGGCTGATACTTTCTCCGATTTTGGAGAAATTTGTATAATGTGCTTCTCGAAAATCGGAGAAAATTGCACGAAAATGTTCTCCAAACTTGAATTTTCTGCGAATTTATACAATAGTGTTGAATACATTTCTCTGAATCTAGAAAAATCCAATTTTTGGACAAAATGAGTAGATGATTTTCTCCGATTTTAGGACTGACCTCCCCAGCTCCGACCTCTTCGCCCCGCCCCTGGCAAGATGCTTTCTTTTGTTTTCTATAAAATCTCTTCGTTAACTGATATTTTTAATATGTTTATTGGTAGTTAGCGCCATCTTTCGTATTGGAAAATTTTTCTTTTTTAATTCAATTTATATTTTTTCAGATACATTTTAAATCGAGAATTTTATAAGATATCTTCAACATAAGAAAACTGTAAGAAAGCAATGAAATGAGTTCATTTCTTCGTCTTTATGGAAAAATAATTATTCTAATTCAATATTGACAAGCTTTTGAATCAGTAGCCATATCTCTCTTTGTTTAAAATATGCCAATGGGTGCAAAACGAAAACGTTCATCTTCTTCAACTCGTGCTGCTGAACCAAAAACAATATCTAATAGAAAATCGACTACGAAAGTCGATAGCGAAGCATCATATAATAATAAACCAACAACAAATTCACTGAATAGACAAGATACAAAAAAAACTACGATAAAAACAAAAGGAAGTCAACAAGTTAAATATAATGTTGGTGAACAAGTTCAATATGATCCTGTACATAAAGGTTCAACAAGACGTGCACAAGGCAAAGTTACAAAAATATTAACAGGAGCAAAGGTAATAAACATATTTGTTAATATTTTAATTTAAAAAAAAAGAATTTTTTTCTTTCAAGAAATCAGATCCTTCAACAAAAGAAGTTCGATATATCATTGAAAACGATAATACAGGAAAAGAAACAAGTCAGCTATTTTGATTTGAAAATTTATTTTATCATCACTTTTTCGTTTTGTAGTTTATGGTCAACATAGTGTCAAGAAAAAAATTAAAAAATAAGAAATACAACGCATCATATTTATTTTATTATTATTTATTCAAGCTTTTATTTTGTACAATTGTATATTCATTTTACTTTTTGAAAATAAACTTTAACTCCATTTAGGAATCTATGAAAATAAGTCTATTCATGCTATTTAAAATTTGAGAATATCGTAAAATGAAACTTTTTATTTAAAAAAAATATACACTTTTCGAAGATATCCTTTCTATTTCACAGTTATGAATATTCGTTTATCCTTTTTTTTGCACTTGTACTAAATTGCTTTAAAATAATAAAAGAAAATATTGTATTTTTTTCGATAAGTACGACAAATATTTTTTTCGTATTAATTTATACTTATCTTTACGGATTAATTTCTTTTTATCCATTACAATTTATGGTATTTAAGTTCATGAAATATTTATTTTCATTTATGATTATGTCAGTAAATTACAATTTTATTGCAGTGTTACATTCTAATATTTAGAAGTTCAATATCATGAGTTGTTTTCAATCAATCTTTATGATTTTTTTCAAATTAGATTTCTTCTAATAAGTTTACAGTGATATTCCAAAAAGCAAAGGTTTATTTTCGATAAATGTTAAAATCTTGAGCAGGTTATGTCTTAAAGATCGATTTTTACTGGGACTTACTCTTAAAACATGTCGTATATTTGATTTCTTTTCTTTTTCACTTAAATTTTGAAAGTTGCCAGAATCATAGCAAATAGTCTGTACTTTTTCAATATAAGACTGATTAGCGATTTTATCACGATCTTTCTTATAATCCTTCGTGAACATTAGATGTGCAGGAACTGTTCGTTGATCTGACACATACGATTTTTCATTTTGCTTTATCTATAACATCCTTATGGTAGAGCTGTTTGAGATGAAATTTTGATCATTTTATCGGTTGATTATGATCAATTATCATTACAGATAACAGATTCAGAAATCTTAGGATTCATGAGAAAAATACAAAATAGTCTTAACGTGTCACGTAAGATTATAACATGAAGAATACTTGACAATTAAAGTCAAAGTAAATATATAATATATTACTAGTTTAGTTTTTATAATGCATGCTAGGAAAATGACTCCAAACTGATTTTACTTCGTACATTATTAAAGTTGTCTGATATGAATAACTGCTAATAGACTAATATTTTTTTCTGGTGTGATCTGATCTTGCTCAGAATGCCTGTGGTCGGTCAAACAAGACTGATTGATGTTTCTGATTTTTCGAATACAATTAATTCTAGAATTTTCCATTAATGCATCATTCTAGTTTCAGTTGTTTACGTAATTTATTTTCATGAAGATATGATAATAACAAGTTCTTGCACGAAATAGTTAATTAAAACAAAGAGACAAGTATCCTAAATATGTTTCATACAAGAAAAACTTTAACTAACGCAATCTACTTTAATTAAATCGGTACTGTTTTGCACAATAGAAAAAATGTAATTATGACGACAACAACACTATATAAACAGGTATACGACGAAAATATGAAAGAAAATGTTTAGAATAAAAATGTAAAGAATAGCTGATACATATAATGACAGACCAGAGAATTTACATTTTAAGTGATTTTTTGCAACAGCACCAATGTTAAATGTATGATCTAATTATTTTGGATCTTAAACAAGTTCTCTTTGTCAATCAATGTGAGTCCTACAACATTGAATTGACGTTCCGTTCAAGAATTTATTTCTGAAATCGAATAAATTTGTCAAAATAGTCTCGAATAGTAATACATTCGGCCAGTATTTGATTTTCAAAAATGTAAGAATCAGATCAACAACATTAGCCTTGTTTGACAGGCACCTGCCAGACAGCAAATTCACCTGGCAACTTTGGTACAGATGACGTCATACCATGAATACATAGGATAAAATACTATTTAATTCATATAGTTTAGATTTGTTGAACTTTGAATCTCATTTGTATATTGTGCCACGTAAATAAAGTTTTTTTCTACCTACTGTCTCAAGTACTTTTAACGAGTTTTGCGAAACTCGTAGTTGGATAGTTATTCGAAGTATACTCGTTTACTTGTCTATCTTGTTATTAGCTCACATCAACTGATATTATAACAATATCTAGGCTTTGTTTTGTCTGACTTTATTCATAAAAATATGATATCTTTTCAGCAATAGATAAGTTTGATGTTTTCTTACTTGAACTCATTATTTGACACAAATGAAAGGCTTTTCAATTCGTATAAGACTAATAGTGTCGATAGAAAGACAGAATGAGCTAGAAAGTTTTGTTTTTATATTAAACATCAAAATTTTAGGTTTCTTGATGCCTAAATATTTTCATAGTTATATGAGACTAGTAATTGGGATAACTTTCACAACAGACGGAAATTTTTTATGATATTTTTGTAGTGAAAGCTCAAACTAACAACTACTACTAATTAGTTATTGAGAGTCTTTGACAGTCGATTAATTACTATTGATTAAATTTAACTTCTCATGGCTTGATAAAATTTCATAACCATAATCAATTCATTCAGTATAATCCGAAGCCCTCGTCATACAATGAGAAAGCGTGTACTCAATAGTTAAAGCTAGAACTTTGATGACAACTAGAAATTTGTCAGTCGAAGACTTTCAAGCTCAAATATCTTAATCATTAAAGCCATGAAATTTGATAAAAACGGACAAATTAGACTAATAGCTTGAATGCCCTTAAAATTTGTTTAAAAAAAGATAAAAACTGGCCAGTTCTGTTTCAAGTAGAGCGTACATCGAAATTTGTAGCAACATAAACGTCAACCAATCAAAAAGCCAAGGAACGCATCTAAAAAAAAGTCTTCCAACAGTTCACTTTTGATATCTAGATAGAATAACAGTGATATTAAATAATTAATTCGTTTTGAACTATTGCCATGATAGATTGGTTTCGAAAGAATTCAAAATAAACACGAACGACAAGCGCCTTTATTGATGTCATGCTCTTGTTTCTTCCCAACAACATATGTTTATATATATTGTATAATCTCTTGGAATGAGTAACTCTCTAAGCTGAGCATCTCGCTTATGCGTACACCTGGTGAAACGATCAGCAAATTTGGCTGAAGATAAAGTTCTATAAGTGGGGGGGGGGGGGGGGTACTTCCCATTTTTTAACAGTAAGCACTCTTCGTTATCCGATCTATATAGTCTAACGACCCTTGGATGAACAGACATAATCACTTTTTGAATTAGAGGACTTTCTATTTGAGCTTTCTACGCATTATCAACATTTATTCTCAAATTGGGCTAAAATTAGATCATTTTATATAATCAATCAATACACCGAACGCAAGCAGATAGCGTTGATGGACTTCAATGTATAGTGACTTTTCGATTGGACACGTTATTTCTTGACATATGAAACAGTACACTATGCATCGTTCTTAAATAATTAATGCAATAAAATAAAAAATGATTTTTTTTGTATATATTTGCAATAAATTATGCGTATTTAGTAGATTCTGTGCTACTTTGCATACAGATTTTAATAAGGATTCTTTACAGTTTAAGACACTTCTAACTGTATAATCGAACAGAAATTATGAAATAGTGTATGTCGATATCGATGTAGATCACTCATTTGCTCCGTATAATACAATCATAAAACTTTGTTGATTATTCGATAAAGAAATGGTGATGTTAGACATGAATGAAATAATCAAATTGCTATATCTCTCCATCATTTAAAAATGTAAGATAATAATTAGTTTCGATCCTTCTATTTAAACATATTTTTAAAACGTTTTACTGAGATCCGATACGCTCAAGTGTTTCACAACTAGAAACTAATCAAAACTGTTTCGATCAATATCAGTCATATGCGTTTAAAAGTCTTAAGAGTGAACCAAACAAACCATGGCACGTTTCGACCTTACTCAAGAGTATCATTAGACGATTTTGACCCATTAAATTATAGATTTATTGTAAAATTTAGCCTTTCTGATTGTTCATCGTGATCTTTTTCAACACGTAAAACATTCGCCATTATGTTATGTCAAACTATTCGGTGTAGATCAACCACAGAATATAAAAATGAAACAAAAAAGGGATGTAATCCGACGCATTCGCGTGGCAATCAATCTGTTCATCCAATTTTGGTTTCATTTCTCCGAAAACAACATTTCACTGAAACAAAAAAACTTTGTATTCGTGATTCAGAAAGAAAATTTTCATTGTTGATCGTGTTATAATAGTGCACATGCGCAATTTGCTGCTTATTTGTTTGTTGAAGTCCAAAGGGAGATTCTCAAGAAAGATGAAGACAAAGTGATGAATATCGTAACCGTGTGCTCTAGAAAAAAATGTATGTCAATCGATAAAACGAATGAGGAACACAATAAGTGGTTACCCAGTAATACTTGTTCATCTTCTCAGTCGTCAATAGAGAACATAGTCTCTGAAGAAGAGGAATATCGTTTAAAAGAATCAAAAGAAATCTTGAATAGTATGCTCAAAATATTGGATACTTCGTCTTTATTAGTCGTAAAATGCTACACTCAAGACAATACGCCAAGCAGCTGAGAATTTCCTTAAAACAAGCATAACAGAAGCATCTGAACCTAAGATTTCGAAGTTTTACTTTGATGAAACGAATTTACTTATTGGTCATCTTCAACTTCTGTTCCATAGGAGCAATCATGACAAACAAATGGATTTATTGACGTTTGCTCCTTCAAGGTAACATTTTCTTTAAACTAAAGCCTCCTTTTCGTTGAATACATATCAAGCTAACAATTCGATTGAACTTCATAATTCATTAGACATCTTGGCAACACTAAATAATTCGCGAAGAAGCTTGCAAATGAATTCATGCCTCGTATAAAAGATACTTAATTTTTACTAAGATGATTCCATCAACTGTCTGCTTCCAAACAAAAAGGATATCATTCATATCCATGAGTAACCAGTATCTATTTGACTCACGTCAATAGCCGTTGATCAAGCATATAGACAGTACATAAAAAATTCAATGAAAAACTATTGTTTTCAGACAGCTAACGCATCAACTTTCTACTTATAAAGACTAAAATAGGTCAAAATCAGAAAACTACACGATATTTGCACGTGTATTCATCATGAAAAATTCAATCTTATAATCAAAATAATTCTCTGAGAAATTATTCTTTGAAATCAAATTTTTTTTTATCTTAAGTGGAGTTAAGCAAGTCCAATGCTGAATTACGCACATCATTCAGGAGATTCTATTTTCAGAACAATCAATTGTGAAATATCGTACTTTTTTTCTTTTGCGCACCACTATTCTATAAAAGAAAAAACAGAAAACGACAGCATGGGTTGAATAAATCAGAGTTGATTATTCTCTAGTAATGAAAGAAATGAACAAATGCGTAGTATGTTACTTGTTGAAAAATAGAGGGCGTTATGTAGAACGGCAAGAAAAAAAAAGAGTAATCGAAACTGTAAATAATTCAAGGTGTGCTTATTTTAACTTGTCATTTCTCGTTTGCATCATGAAGTTTAATGACGAATATACGTATGAATTAATTGACAATGAAACAGACGCTCTCATTTGTGCTCGTTTGATATCTGAAGAATTTGTTCAACATAATCCAATAGCAATTTTCGACCAATTGTCAGCTGAAGAGTTTTTCAATGAACGTTCATGGCCATTCATGATGGATGTATTCGATGAACGGTTATCATTTCTAGCTCGTCATCGTCATTCCAATGAAATTGTTGGTGCTATATTAGCTGGTGATCTATTTGTACATAATCAAAATCATCCATATGACGAATTTGCAATACCATCAACGATACCTCATCAGAATTTACTCGAAGATATGACCAATCAATTTATTAATAATGATTTCGATCAACAATTGGAACCTCGTTTAGTTTTACACATTGGTGTAGGCGCTACACGCACTGAACATTCACGTAAAGGTGTAGCTAGTGGATTACGTCGACTTCTTTGTAATTATGCGCATAATAGTAAAGGATTTCAATATGCATTTGTTCAAGTGACGAATCCTATTACGAAACATATATACATAGACAAAATGGGTGCACAAGTAGTGCGCATAATCGATCCGACTAGATGGGCATGGACGAAAAAGAATAATCAATTATATCCGTATAAAGATTACAAGAATGGGCCTATATATAATATTCTTCTAGAATTGACAAAAAACAACAAATGATAATTGCAATATATACATTATAATCATAGACTCATGCTTGAAAAATTTGAACTGTCACTAGACAAGTTAAAAAGCTGAATGAGAATCGGAGGCGATGCAACTGAAAATACTATTGCTTTCATTTTCTTTGCACTTGTAGTCGATTGGCCAAGATTAAACAGCTTTCATCTCTATTTTTTGGCATGGAACTCTTATTACTTTTGTTTTCCTTTTTATTTTCTTTCATATGCATAGTTTATTATCTTACTTTCTAAATAAGCCATTGGTAGATGTTGATATGATGAGAAAAGCGCTACTTTTATATACAAAAAGTGAAGTACATGAATGACCAACAACCTAATCATAATTCATATTTTTAACAATAACAATGCTAAAATAAAGTCAAACTCTAGACAACGAATCCTTCTAGTTTCATATTTAGAGGTTAACTACAATATTCTTAGTGAAAATTAATTATAATAGATTTCTTTTTGTCAACACCTTTGAAGTTGCAGCTGAGTTGTCCATTATTTCCTTTCTTAGATAGATTTTATTATGTAATATTGTATTGATTTTGTTATCTATTCTTGCGCTGCAACACATTCTCGTTGATTTTACTTATTGAATCAATATATCGGACCTTCGTCATTAATACATATAGCTTACGTAAAGCAGTTCTAACAAATTAAAATCAATTTCCGTGACTGAAAGCGACAGTTACCGGCACAATCTGTGACTATCGTCATTGTGATTGTGACCAAACCTCATGATCATGACTTAAAAACTTGATTACGTCGAGCACTATTCATGATGCATCCAAAAGAATTGAAAACAAAAAGAACCTTCAATATAGAAATATTTTTACATTCCTGCACTATGTTTGACGAAGATAACTTTCTTTATCGAAACGTCACAATGTAATTTAAAGTGATATTATTCACTAGTTTATTATTATTGTTTTATTTTGAGCTAATTAAAGTACGTATAGATGAATATTGATTTAATTCTTGATTTAAAAAAAAAACTTTTAAACTTTAAATTAATTATTACATAAAACATATAAAGCAATATCGAAGAGTAAAAAGTTTACTAATTATTAACTCAAACGACATACATTGTAGCGAACATACGAGAATGTTTGAGTCATCGTAGTGTACTTTTAAAATTTTGACATAGAATGTAGAACGAACACATGATAAGACAAAGTAAGACAACGCATGTGACTGCGCACATTTGAAAAAAGACTCATCATACTTTAGAAGCAGATACGATTGCATAGTGAAGCATAAGGTTAAGACCTATTGTTCGATTATTGATGTAAATCATGTTATTGTAGAAAGTCTTTCCTGCGTAACGAAATGTTCTCTTCATCATTTTAGACAAATGTCATCCTCTCTTTCTGCTCCATCGTTCGATGAGATTCATGCAGCCCAATCTCGTCTACGTGGTATTGCAATTTGTAGTCCACTTCTTAAACTTGACTATCAAATTCCTGGATTGGAAATTTATTTGAAATGCGAACAGTTTCAACTTACATCATCATTTAAAATACGTGGTGCTGCCAATATTGTCAAGATTCTATCATTGAAAGAAAAAGAAAATGGAGTCGTTACAGCCTCATCTGGTAATATGGCGCAAGGTGTAGCTTGGATAGCCAAACAGGAAAATGTTAAATGTCGAATATTGGTACCTGATACAACAAATAAAGTGAAACTAAAAGCAATTGAACGACTCGGTGGCGAAATTACTAAATGTACTTTCGATGAGTGGTTTCAAGTAATTATAAGCGGTCAATGTCCAATGTTAGATGGATATTTTATTCATCCAGTACGTGATCGATACGTCATGGCTGGGCATGGAACAATGGCATTGGAAATATTAGATCAATTGCCTGACTGTGATGCCATATTTGGTAAATGTATTCATAATGAAAAAACACTGACGAATAGAATTCACAACTCTTGAAATCGTGACAGTTAGTCGAACCATTGTATCAAGTGTTGGAATTCCTATAACTATAAGAATGGTGATTTGCAATAATGATTGTACTATTACAAACTACTAAAATGATTAAAAATCCTCTCTGACGACTGCATAAGACTTTCAAGAATACCGGCAATCCTCACTATCATAACATCACACTAAATCACAATTCTTTTGATCCTTGGAATTTTTGTACATAATAATGGGAATGCAAGCATTTTTAAGAGTTCTCAGTTTACTACTGTCAGAAAGATAGTCGAGATCTCATTGCATTATTCAGTAGATAGCAAAGTATTTCCTAATAACAAGTTAAGCCGGAAACAAGCTATAAGATCTGTTTACGTGCTTCGAAAGAAATCAATAGCTCTTACAGTTGACTTTATTCTTATTGGCGGCAAATCGGGGAGAACAATAAGTTTAATCTGATCTCATAACGAGTTTTTCAAGTTTTGATTCATTTGTTTTGGTTCCCTATATAGTGCCAGACGTACTCTATGTATCGTGTACATTCTGACTAGGTCGGTTTTATTTGGACAAAAAAAAATAATATATAACAAATTTTTGTAGATGTTAAAAAATTTGCAGCAGTAAAAAAATACAATAACAAAACAGTATTCTAACAATTTTCTCAGAATTTTGATTCCCGTTGTCGAAGAAAACAATGATTTTTTTGAAGAGAAAAAAGGGAAAATGCAACTGTACTCTAGTTATGAAAGAAAAAGTTTCAGCCAAATCGATGATTTCTCGAAGAACGATTTAGAAAATACTCAAGGTCATTTTTAACATTTATGATCGTATTGTTTTCTGAAATGATACACTCTGAAATGATGTAACAATGCCAACTTTTTCTCTATTCAGCAAGTTATATCTATTCTTAAAACTTCAGAGTTTTTCATTGGAACATAATCTGGAAAATTCTACAGACATAATTTCTTCATTCTAATGATATTTTAAATATTCTTCAATGTTTTCTAGTTCCATACGGTGGTGGCGGCTTGATTACTGGCATTGTATCTGCTGTTAAACATTTAAAACAATCTATCGATGTTTTTGCTTGTGAAATCGAGACTGCGGCACCTCTTTCTGCCGCTTTAAATGCTGGTGAAGTCGTCAAAATTCCAATAAAAAAGTCATGGGTTGATGCTATTGGACATTCGAATATCATGAAAGAAATGTGGCCATTGGTCAAAGATTCTATTGATGGTTCAATTGTTGTTACATTGAAAGAAACAGCCGATGCATTGAAATTATTAATAGAAAGAAATCATATGATATGTGAAGGAGCAAGTGCAACTGCACTGGCGGCTGCATTATGGCATTATCCCAATTTATTGCAACATGGCAAAGCTGGCTTGAGGAGAAAACCAGGAAATGAGCCTATCAAAGTGGTAGTCATACTATCTGGTGCCGGAATCGGTAATGAAACAATTATCCAGTGTTTAAATGAAACTTTATAAAAGCCAATACATTTTAGATATTTCTACTTGACTAATTACTTCATTATTTAGTAGCAAATAAAAACATGAGCTTTCTTATTATTTTTATTCTCGTATTATGAGTCTACATATGTGATACTGTTCTTCTTGGTATCCAAGCCACCATCGGTCTACACATAATCATTTTTTGAATCGAAAAAGGTTCTTTTCGAATGTACCATTTCTTTTTATTCATGTACAGAGTTTTTGTAGATCTGCAGATTGAAAAGTCGTCATCATCCGTGCAAAATATCCTCATAGATGCAGATTCTGACACTTTCGCAGTTCTCGGATACTGTTTTTTCAATAAAATCTCTTATCGAAGTTTTACAGCATTCTATTGTTCGTATATAATGGTAAACAGGCTCGTCAAACTATGGATCATGTTATAGAACCCTATTTTAGCAAGGTTGCAGATAAAGAAGAAAGGAAATGAAAATTTCATAGCTTTCATATCGGCACATATGCATGAATGCTGTCTTTCTATAGCATAATATGTTTATTAAATACTCACCATTGTCGCAACCTAGTGCATCCACTATCCATAGCATTGGTCACGATAAAATCTTTCTTATAACAAATGTTTTAGTCATATGTCTTTTTTGCACGTTGATCGTGCTAAACATTCGAGATATTGTTCGTTGGTATCCTTCGCCTCTTACTGCAATGGTTCATAGGGTGAATATTCACACTACAGTGTGATTGATCAAATATCAATAGAAGAAAATGTGGTACTTTCAAAACAATATTCACAGAATCAATTGGTCATCATTATAACAAAACAACAATAACAATGAGTTTCGGGTCGATTAGACTTCAGACACATGCAATTCGTGAATAGCACCGATCTCTCAAATTTAATCAAGTAGTTGTTCTTTGATTTTATTTGCTCGATTGTGCACAAGTAGAGCCTGTAGCAAGATCAACCAGATTTTTTTTGACTATTGGAATGATTTCGAAACTGATAAAAATGGCAATCATAGTCGATAATATCGAATGGACCATGACGCGTTTCGATCTTGCTTAAGGCTCTCTTCAAATAGTTACGATGTGATCTATACATGTTTTCTGATGATCGAAGATTATAAATAAGATAAACAATCTACAAGTTTCATGAGAGGTTCAAAAATGCAAGAAGATAAGTGTAGATGGGGTACCTGCAGCACCTATTCGGCACCTTAATAACATTTCCCCAGCACCTTGAGCACTTTTTCAGCGTCTTGTGATACAATTTAGTACGTAAGTGCGGCACACTAAATTTTACTGCAAGATACTGAAAAAGTGCTCAAGATGCTAAGAGAGTGCTGTAAAGATGCTGAAGGTGCCGAACAAGTATCGAGGTGCTATGGGTACCCAATCTGTACTTACTCCCTTGCAAAAGTCAGTATTTCTTATAGTAGATATTCGTATTTTGGGTTAAGCCATGATGCCATTGTCATGACTACATCTTTGCTAAGGAACTTGTAGGAATAAGCTGACATAACACTCTTTCTAAGTGATTTGTGCATCATGAGCATGGTTTGAATTCTTAATCTAAATAAGTAGAATGCATGTAAGTACTTG